AGTCAGACAGGTGAGGTCGTAATACAGTAAGTTCAGGAATAAACCAGGCTGATCAACAACCCACATAAGGTCTGGATTTAAAATAATTTTAGTCTAAGTGAGGCTGAATCAATTTTGATAATTAATAATAATAATAATAATAATATCAACTAACTGTGCAACTTTTTGCCTGTCTACTCAGAAGTACTTAGTGCCAGGTTCTGTGGGACTCACCCCTGTGTAAGTGTGTACAGAATTGGAGTTGAAAAGCAAGTTGACTTTTTTTTATGGGCCAGGGGTAGTCTTCGCAGATTTGCCACCTTTTGTGCTGACAGCACTTTGATGTTTCAGGACAAATACGCCCTTTGTTCAATTTCTATCACTAAGCTGGTTAAGAATACAGACGCTATCATAACAGAAGAAGGTACATCGTTACACGGAACTAAGATGGTGAGTATGCCTTAAACTGGGTTGTGGACTGAGCTAATTGATAGGTTACCAGAGTTACAGTGAAGTAATACTTTGAATGACCGGGGGTGTGTGTGTGTGGGGTAGGGGGGAGAAAGAGATGCTAACTGTAGAAGCACAACACACTATACAGTGTAAGGGTGGATTCACATGACAAGTTTCCCTACATGTCACTGGACATGTGAAAGGACACAGTGGGGTTTTGTTCACATGTCTTATGGATTGGACTGATGCAGGTTATGAGCTGAATTAAGTGGAAAAGGAACCCATCTGTTGTTGCTGCCATTTGAGCTTTGATGCAGCAGCCCCAGAAATGGGAAGTTCTGGGGACATCTCTGTTGTCATTTTTTAATCAGGAATGGGGTGCTAGTGGATTTTTAATACCTGAACTAAGGAGGATAAGAGCTGGTGCCCAGAATTACCTGGAGGAGGAGGGAGGAGCCAGGCTTGGGAAATGTTGGGACAAGGGATATGGGAAAAAACTTGGCTCCTTCATTTTAATATTTTTCTGTGTAAATGGCTATGAGGGCCAAACCCTTCACCCAGAAGATACCCATGGGCTGCATTTATTCTTCTCACAGGAAAAAAAATCATTAGTTTTGAAGGGAGAAGTCCCTGTGGACAGCTTTTAAAAATATCCTTCATCACCAGTCCTTATATTGTGTGACAAAATCTATTCACCAGCACTAATGCCTCTCTCTACAAGTACCCTTCACAGGTGCTCAGTGTCCACAATCATCTTGCAAGCCAAAACAACTGCTCTCATTCTAGGTCTGGCTAGAATCATTTTGCTGCTTGAAGGAGAGCAGCGAATGGCACTCTCCTCACATCAAGGTGCACAGTATCCAAGGCAACAGTAATAAATAACTTTGTTTGCTTCCCATTTATGACATCCCAAATCTAAGGCAACTAATCCTACTCCACCTAATGGAATGACGTAGCTGAAACAACCCTGTTATCCAAGTTTTCTTTTCCACTGACCAAAGTCAGCATACCAATACCACAACCTTCTCCCTTGGCTTTAATTTGCACTTGCACATTGAAAACACTTGTGCTACTTACTTAGGCATAGTGAGTGGGGCTTACATTTTGGCGTGTAGCAATATCCACTTGTAGATCAGTTAGGAATTGCTTCCTAACCCTGAAGGATTGTTCAGTGATTTGTATAGGTGGTAGAGGTGAAGGAATGATAGCCCCAACCTATATTGTGAGCATGCAAAACAGGTCCGGGGAACCTCGGGCCCTTCAGAACTGCTGAACTACAACTCCCATCAGCTCCAGCAAGCATGGCCAATGGGCAGGGATTGCTGGAACTGTAGTTCATCAACATCTGGAAGGCCGAATGCTCCTCACACCTGGTACAGAACAAGGGAGTTGGCAAGGCAGAGAAGGCACCCCTGAGAAATCACAACGTATGACCTGAACCATGTTGGGAGAGATGGTTTGACTATCTACTTGCTTTCCTCAATGGTACCTCTGATATTATAGAAAAAAAGGAAACAACCTTGATTGAATAAGTGTGCATAGGGAGGAATAGGGTTAGTATATTGTTATTAAGACTTCAAATAAAGAACCCAAGGAATACACATAACCAGAATTCATAAGGAATAAATTTATTGCTGTTTACTTAACAGGGCAGTCCTACACATATCTGCTCCGAGGTAGGCCCCATTGATTTCAGTGGGACTTACTCCCAGGTAAGTGTATATCTGATAGCAGCCTAAAGTTATCAACTTATTTGTTAACAAAGGGAAGCAATATGTGTATTAACGTATTTTGTCATTATAGTTTTGTATTTTTCTTTAAAATATGACAGAAAGAGAATGGAAATTTTAAATTCAGCAATGACCCAAATGTTATTCCTGTCTGTCATAATATTTTTGACTATCCATTTCTTTGGCCATCTGTCATTCTGGAAATATATAAAGCCAGGTCTCTTGCAATAACAACCTCAGTAGCACTGGGCCCCGAGAGCAATTATTCTAAATTTCTCCTTCCTTGTTCCCCAGCTAATGATACACATGACAAAGGGAATCTGAATATATAGATTTCCTCAAGCAACTGGAGACACAAAAAGTTGCATGAATAGCCTCATGCACATCCTCATCCAGATCTATGAGAGAATTATATCACATGCTTGATTTAACAGCTGTTTTAGAATCTCACTGTTTAACTCAGCAACAATACAGCAACCTCTTACATTTTAGAGTACCACTAAAGGCAACCTCCCTAGTGTCTCAGCATGCAAACCAATTCCACAAATTGGCAAAGCAGGTGCAGTTAGATTACAACCTGTTTTGTCCCAATCAGAAGTTTAAAATAAATTTAAACCCAAGTGTTCTGGGTTAATGAACTGCAGCCTAGATGTTAAAGCTACATTTCAGTATACCTTACAAACATCATTTTGATGCTGAATAAGGGCACTTTAGGGAGTGAAAGCAATTTTATTTCATTTGAAATCAACAAAATCTGTGTGGCATTTTTACAATTAAACAAGGATAAGTAGAGGCAGGCTGTAAAGAGATTAAGAGCACTTACATCGCTGGAAGAAATTACACAGATGTAGCAAACCATAAAGGTGAGATATCAAAACAATCCTCAACTGTATTAAACAATGTGATCATAATAACAGGCATTTGAGCACTACTGGTTTCTAAAAAAAAATATGTGTAGCTTTTAATTTTTCTGTTACCAGAATATAAAACCATTAACTTTGTTTTGCTGCTTTATTCCATGCCACATACTGTTTCTGTTTAGATATTGTGCAGAGGCTGCACAGCTATGCCACACTTGCTTGTGTAGCAAATATCTGAAAAGCATGCAAATGTATTAAAAGGTACATACATGCTCATGTAACATGCATTTAAGACTTTACATTTTGAATTACAGTTCCTTTTCCCACACTGTTTTATTTGGTAAAATAAGGTAATATCCTCATTTTGATTAATACATATATGATCCATAACTCGATATAGTCACTCAATCGAGTAACTTAAATAAGATCAGTTTGAAGAATTTTGATTTAATTTGATCTAATTTCATTGCTTCTATTTGGATTAAATTATTTAAAATCTAAGTGCATTTACTGATTTAGTCTCTGATTGTCAGTTTTGTTCCATTATAATTTTTGGTGTGGTAAATGCCACAATTAGGTTCAGTGTGATTTTTCTATTAGCAGTCACTGAGCTGTCCCCATTAATTAGTACCAAATAAGTGGCAATAAGAATTTATGTACTTTCTTTATATCCTGCCTCTCCTCCAATGAATTCAACACTGTACAAATGGTTCTCTCTTTTCTTTTCTCCTTGCAGCAACATTGTGAGGTAGGTGAGGCTGAAAGTATTGACTGGCCCAAGGTCATCCAGCGAACCCTATGGGTGAGTGGAGATTTGTTCCTGGGTATCCAAAGCCCTAGAATGACACTCTGTCTACTAGGCTGTCTTTTGTATTGTCTAACTCTATTAAAACAAAGAACATAACTGCAAGTTTATAGATGATGCTGTCACATGAAGGTTTGGATTTGTTATCACAGGCAGGCAAGCAAATTGTGTTGCCAGCAAATGGCTTTATCTTGCTGTTGCCATTTATTGACAAATATGGTTTGAATTCAAAGGAGGCGTAAATATACTGCTTGCATATTGTTATTTATTTGTCTGTTACATTACAAATCATCTTAGAAAGTATTTTTGTACAAAACGTCCACTATTTTAAAATGACATTCTACTTATTCACGTCAGAAGGATCAGTATTGGGTACTGAGTTTGAATTAAGATGAAGGATCTAATTCCTTAGTCCAAATTAAACTGAGTCAAAACTGAATGCGCCTACAATTTCAGTAGCAGGCAGCACTAATAAAAAGCTTATAAGGTTATGTAGGATTTGGAGGCTGGATGTGACAGAGTAATAAACACACTTAAGACATTTCATTTTCCTGTTTGCAACCCCCACCTGCAACTACTATATCTTATTATTGTCTAATATTTTTGGCATTAACTTAATTCCAGTTGAATTTAATTACAAAGTTAACGAGTGCCAATGAAGATTATACATCACCTAGTTCAGTGCAATTAAAATAAACCATGCAATATTATTTATGGATTAAATTAAATAATTATTTAAGACATAAAGCACTGCAGTGTAAACAGGCACCCTTGTGTATGCAGCCTCTCTCTTTATCATAAATACCAATAAGTTATTTCTTTATTATTAAGCCTACTTAACTTACTACTGTACTGGAACTGAGATGCTTGTATATAATAAGAGTTAAAAACATATCAAATCTATGGATAAATAATACAACTTAATACATAGAAAATGATTTCTCAAAAAAGGCGACTTTCTGTTCAGATTGTTTATCCTCTCCAAGTGTTTGTGCAAATAAATAAGAAAGTCAAAGGGAGATGATTCAAGCTCAGTTTTCCTTAGATGTCCTGAATCACACATTTGTCTTGCACCGAACGATATCTTACCTACCTTGTGGAACCACAATCTGAATAACACATTGGGGTCCCCTGTTTGCTTGCTGTGTCTGATACAGGAGCTGAATCTATGTGTCAGGAAGGTTCATCGGATATGCAAAACATGGGCTTTAACCTGACAGACCTTTTCCTAATAGTGCCCCTAGGTGACAAGGAGATGCTGTCCAGGATGCTCTGGTTTTCCTCCAGTTGCCTGGCAGTGCAGCTTGGGGTGGGCACCTTCACAGTGTTGCCAAACTTGGAGTAGTCTACCGAGTACTGCCCATCCTCTTCGGTCACGATGGGCACAAACCTTTGTCCCCAGAGGATCTCGTCGGCCAAGTAGGACGTCCTGGCTTGAGTGGTGATGCCGGTGGTTTCCACCACCCCTTCTAGGATGACGATGACTTCCAGATCCTCGTGGTGGTGGAGGTTGTCGGGGGCCACGTCGTACAGAGGGCTGTTCCTGTCGATCACGTGGCAGATGATGAGCGGGGAGACCAGGAAGATGCTGTTGCCCCCTACCGGGTTCTCCATCTGGATGTCGATCTGGTGGAGGGGCACCACCTCCCCCTCGGGGCTGGCCGTCTTCCGCACCACCTGCATGCGGATGGTGGCGCTGATGATCATGCTCTTGCGCAGATCGCCCACGCGCAGCATGAAGCAGAGCTTGCCCTGGCGGAGCGCGATCACGGCGTGCTTGCTGAAGATGAGCGTCTCGGCGCGCCGGTGCGCCTGGGCCGTCTTCATGAAGATGCAGCCCAGCATGATGGCGTTGATGACCAGGCCCACGATGTTCTGCACGATGAGGATGAGGATGGCGGCGGGGCACTCCTCGGTCATCATGCGCCCGCCGAAGCCGATGGTCACCTGCACCTCGATGGAGAAGAGGAAGGCCGAGGTGAAGGAGCGGATGTCGGTCACGCAGGGCACGAAGTCCTCCGCCCCCCCGCCGCCCGGCTGCAGGTGGAGCTGGCGGGTGCTCTGGTCGAGGTCGCCGTGCGCGAAGGCGATGAGCCACCAGACCATGGCGAAGAGCAGCCAGCTGCACAGGAAGGACATGGTGAAGATGAGGAGCGTGTGGGGCCACTTGAGGTCCACCAGCGTGGTGAAGACGTCCTGCAGGAAGCGGCCCTGCTCGCGGATGTTCTTGTGGGCCACATTGCACGCGCCGTTCTTGCCCACGAAGCGGGCCCTCCTCTCCCGCGCGCGGTAGCGGGACGGATCCGGGACATCCTCGGCCAGCCGGGTCAGCACGTACTCCTCCGGGATGATGCCCTTCCTGGACAGCATGGCTGGCCTGCGCTCTCCTCCTACAGCCCCCGGTCCGTGGCTGCGGCGGCGGGGACGCTGTCGGAGGGAGCCATCGCTGCTGCTGCTGCTGCCGCTGTGCCGCCTTCGCCGCCCCTCCGCCTGCCCTGGCCGACTCCCCTTCCCCGCCCGCCTCGGCAAGCCCGACGCGCTCCCCCAGCTGCGCACGCCAATCACAGCCCTCGCCGCCTTTCCGCGGCTCGCTCTCGCAGCCAACCAGCCCGCCGCAAGCCGGGATCGCCTGCCTGCCTGCCTGCCTTGAGCTGCCTTCTGGAGAAGCCGGCGGCAGCGGAGGAGGCGCGCTCAGAGGCAAATCCGCTGGCGGCGGCGCCTGGGTCCCGATTATCCGGAACGCTCGCCAGGGCACGCTGTCGCGCAAGGGAGCCCCATTACGGTGGGAGGGCCGCGCAGTCACAACCACGGCCCGAAGGAGCAGGGCGCACAAAAAGGGAGAATAGGGTCACGGGGTTGCACGGGACCTTGGCGCTTATCTAGGCAAGGCCCTGGCACAGCAACTGACTGCTTTGCAAGAGAAAGGTCCCACATCCGGTCCCTGGCCTCTCCATGTGTGGCCGGGGAGTCTCCTGCCTGTAACCCTTAAGAGCTGCTGCCAACCAGTGTAGACATTACTGAGATAGTTAGGCCGTTGGTTGGACGTGGTACAAGGCAGCTTCTTATGTTCCTATATGGACCAGGCCCTTCCTTGGTGCAGAAGCAGTGAATCTTTGAAGACCACTGTCTTCCTCCCCTTAACCGTCTCTTTTCCAGGCGAAACATGCCCATCCTCCTAGCTGCCATGATGGACGACAGGGAGGAGGGATCAAATGTTCATATGCAAAGAGCCCTAGAACTCTTGCTCAGTGCACCTGCTCAGATAAGCTGCCTCTTTTATTTATCAAGCACCAACCACTCACTGCAGTGCAGAACAGAGAGGAAGTCTGGAACAATTTCACTTCTGGGGTGGCGCCACCGGCAATGGCGGACTCCCTCTGAACTGGAGGGACTGGCTCCACGGTAAACAGGGTCTACTCCGCTACGGCGAAGCGGGGACCCCTTCAAAATCACAGGTGGATGAAGCCTGTGACCGTGGGACTCGGCGGGCACCTTTAGCGCCCCCCCAATCCGCTAAGGAACCCACTAACGGGCTCCGAAGTGAGGAGGGGGAAGTGGCGCGGTGCTGTGAGTCAATCGCTATTTCCGTGGAGCGAAGCCGCATAGCTGCTGCCGGAGAGCGCTGCCTTCTTTCCTGGAACAATTTGGACTCTAAAACAAGCACCCGTGATATTCAGAAGCCTTGGTGTGTGCTTTTTACAAAACAAATGCTTTACTGGAAGAATTATATGATAAGGTGAACTGGATGGCCATTTCGACTAGAAATCTTAAACAGGCAGTGGAATGTTTTGACCAGACAGTGGGAAAACATGTGGAGCCCACTCAGGATTCAAACCAGGAGTGTGTTTTGATAGAACAGGAGTTTGTGGTATTAAATCAGGAGTGTGTTTTGACAGAACAGACCCAACAGGAGTATGATCCTTCGGACTGGACAAATGAATTTGGAAAAAGCCAGATCTGGAAAGGAAAAGTTCGGTGTGGTTTGGAAATGGGGGGCTGGATTGACCCCCCTATGTTGGGATGTCTGGACTTTTTAAATATGGTAATGGGCTGCGATATGTTTGGGACTGTGGGGGCTCTCAACTTTGGAGGGCCCTTGAAACATGCTTTTAAATACTACATGGAATGCAGCGATGAATACGGAAAAGGGTCTGATCTGACGAGAAGGGTTAAAAACATTATTAAGTTGGAGTTACCACGAGCAAGAGACATTGTCAAGCTGGAGTTACCACGAGGAGATAAGGGAAATTACAGTTATAAATATGAAGAAGAGCCGCGGAAGGGCCATGGAAGTGACCTGAGGGCCTCGGACATAAGGTTGCCAGGTTACACTGATGGGAAAGGACTGACAAATCCCGGAACCAGGAGGAAGGGACGTTGGATAAAGATTGGACTTGTCTATATCTTTCTTTTTCTCTTTCTTTATTATTAGAATGTTTCACAAAGTTGATGAATGATAGAAAAATGTTGGAAGAAATTACCTGGCTTTAGTAAAGATGCATAAAGAATTATGAAAGAATATTATGATTATAAGAAGCTGGTAAGGTTAAGACTTAAGTTTTAAACTTTAAGGTTTATTTTATTATAGAAAGATAGGATTAAATTAGTCGAGGGTAATGTAATGATAGAATTTTATGAAACATGGAAAGGAAAGGATTTGCTGGGATAATTAATAACTAGAATACAAAGGAAGGGAGGAGGAGGAGGTCTAAGAAAGAAGGCAATGACAGTTAAGGGTCTGAAAATAATGAACTTGTTTTGTTTTGTTTTTATTCTTTTTTCTGTATCTTGTATTTTCTTGTATTTTTACTTTTTGTATTTTTACTTTTTGTTTTTGTGTAATTCTTGTATTCTTTGAAATTTTAATAAATATCATTTAAAAAAAAAAGGAAGTCTGGAACAATTTCTCTCTAATGTAACAATATTTAGGGCTTTTTATTTTGAGAAATGGTGAGTAAGTGGTATATGAGATTAGACATGGCGTGGATAGAGTTGTTCCCTAATACAGTGGTACCTCTGGTTACAAACTTAATGTGTTCAGGAGGTCCGTTCTTAATCTGAAACCGTTCTTAACCTGAGATGCACTTTCGCTAAAGGGGCCGCACCGCTGCTGCACTATTTCTGTTCTCATCCTGGGGCAAAGTTCTCAACCCGAGGTACTACTTCCGGATTAGTGGAGTCTGTAACCCGAAGTGTTTGTAACCCGAGGTACCACTGTACTCAGGGCAGTCCAAAGAAGCTGAATGTTGGAAGAGCCAGGAGACAAGATAAAAAGTCTTCACATAGCAAGCACATTGTTAAATTACAGGCTTCACTCCCACTAGGTGTAGTGACAGCCACCAACTTGGATGGCTTAAAAGAGGATTAGACAAGGTCAGCAAGAGTGAGGCCATCAGTTCAGCTGTGCAGCTGATCACTTCAGAGGTGACCTCAGCCCTGCTTTCTTCAGGGATCAACCACACAGTTGAGTTCTTCATAGGGAACTCAGTCATGCAGCAAATCCAGCTGTGTCACCTGTCCCACAACTGATGTCACATATAATTTCAGGTGTGAGAGGCAGGTGCATGTGGTGTTGGGGCAAATTTGGGCTGTGGGCTGGAGGCTCCTCACCCGTGACCTATACAGTGGAGGAGTGCCTACCCCTTTCTAGTGTATCACCCGGAGGAAGAATGCACACAGATTAATGTGGAAAGGGAGGTGGTGGCATATTTGCTCACTTGTTGCTGCTCTCTTATTCCATTTGGTCTCAGAAGCAGTGGGAATGAACTTCATTAAAATGAACATGAGAGGAGGGTGTGTGTATGTGTGTGTGTGTATATATGTGTGTGTGTGTGTGTGTGCCTGCCTTTATGCACCAGTCTCTTTATGTGCAAATGCTAGTTTCCTTGTTTAACAAATGTTACAGTTCCCATTATCACTGGTAATTGGTTTGCCCAAGCTCTCCACAACCGTTTCCTGAACAGAAGATCTGGGTAAAGTTCAAGAGCTTTCTCTGGCTACTTGATTATTTTTAGTGTCCTTGGGACTGCTGAGATGTTTAAGTGTTCAGGCACTTCTTTTCATCTTTCACTGAAGGGATATTTTAAGATTATATACCAAGCACACAGATATGCTCCAAGTAAGGTAAAAACAGTTAACATTAGACATATCCATTGAAGCACTTTGCAGGGCATTAAAAAGCACCCCCCCAAAGGGAGATAGAAAATAGTATTTAATTGCATATGGGGCTGCCTTTGTAAATTTGTGCAGTTCTCTGTTACCTGTAGTAATTTAGAATTTATTAGAATTAACACCACTACCTGTGCAGGTACATAAGTAACTCGGCCTTATTTTGCTATAGAATACATATTTTTCAGAGTGCATCAGACCTACTTTCAACAGCTTACATTGCAAAGGTATATTATACCATTTCTTTTAAATGTTGTAATATAGTAAACTGTGATTTAGCACTGAAGCAACAGACTTTCATTGTTGTATCTCCTAGACGAATTTATATTATTGGAGATTGTTTGGTTCTTGCACAATATTAATAGTCTGCAATATATATAATCTAGCAGGGTATACCTATTGGGTTTTGCCTTCAGCTAAGTTTTACTCAGGTCCAGCAATTTCATTGGGTTTACTGTGAGCCATAAATGTTGAATGCTACTCAGTTGTTTATTTAGTCATTAACACATCATTAACTTATTTAAGTTATATAAGTGCTTAGATCTTGAGGAAATTAATTGTGGTCATAATCTTCTGGGACAGTATTTTCAAAATATTACACAGGTTGTTCAGTATGAACTAATTGGAGGGTGAGGTTAGGATGAAGGTAACTCTTCCTAAGAATTTGCTTTGTAATGCTTCATTGTGTCAGTTTCAAACAGGGTTTTGTTTTGTTTTTTGCTTTGATCAGCACAAGAGCATAAATCTTAGCTTTGCGGAGGATCAGCATGGTTGATTCAGATATTGGAGCAGATGGGCACACACTGCAGGGGAAGCTATCATCCCAGTGTCCTGTGGTTCTTGCTCAGAGAGGGTGCCATTTATGTTACTTTTATTGCTTCTTTCAGCCTCTCTGCACAGCTGATTTTCAGTGCCTGTGTATGAAATACTAATTTATTGCGTAGTGTCCCACATGATTTTCCTCAAGGTTGTGTTTATGTTACAGAGATAGTTCAGATCCCCAACACTGGTTATAATATATTTTGTACCTGGGAAATTGTTAATACTTCCCCTCCACCCCTGAACAGTGCTACACCCATTGATTGATGGATTAATTGAAACACTTTTCAGTGTGACATTGAACATGTAGTTGGAAAACATGCTCATCCATGCCATCCCGACTCCTGATCTGCATGTGGTCAATGAAACAGGTGCATAAATCATATGAGTGTACAAGACAGGGTTCCTAGGAGCTGTCTCCTATGATTGTGAGGCTGTTTTCTTTTTTATACTGTTTTCCATTGTCCACTTAACCTGTGTTGCATATCTGTATGACAGGGTCACATAAGGACATGTTGTTGATAACAGTTATGAAATCTCCCTTTTGAATTACCTGCTCCTGATTAGGGATAAGAAAATGATGGTTGGATATAGTATTCTTTGAAATGATAACTTTCAGGTAAGGGGTGGGTGTGTTCCTTTATTTAAAAGCCTCATTGTTTAAACTTAATTTTGTACCTTAGTGGTTCTTGTAATAGTTTGATCCACTGTGACACAGCTTTGGTATAAATCAGGTTAAATAAACAAAAACAAGCGATAATTACTAAAAAAATGACTGTTTGAAGAAATTCTTAGAGCAGGACAATGTATTCATACTTAAGAGGTAAACCATTTTTGGTCCGTCCCCCAATGAAGAGACTCAGCTCTATATTATTAAATTGTTTTTTATTTACAGGTAATTTACTGAATTATAAAATGGATAATAAAATTGCACTTGCAAATATTTAATTTATTTATATTTACTTGTCCGCTTGGACAAAAGAAGCAAACACACTGTCTTCTTGTTCCAGAAGAACCTCTGGTTTGTCATATTCCAGAATAACTCCTCTCTTCATTACAATAACCATATCTGCATTAAGAATGGTGTGCACCCGGTGCTACAAAAAATAATAATGAAATAGATAGGATGAGAATTATAATTATATATGTAACCATCTGTGATAGATATACTTTTAGATTATTAGAAAATACAAGTATGAGAAAAAAAATGATTCAGTTCTGCTGAAAATCTCTTTGCTCATTGGAATGTAATTAGCACTTCATTGATCAAGGCAGCCACAAAGCTTCTTTTTGGACTGGCTCTACATTTGTTTTCAGGCACAATTTGTGCTGGTTTTTACCTTAAAAGCCCTAACTAATAGGGAGCCAGAATGTCTATAGGACTGCTTCCTGTCATATGAACCAATCTTGCCACCCACAAAGGCATAGTTACTCCAGAAGCAACAAAGTTCTGTTGTGGAACTCTCTTGCTAAAGAGGTTCAGTTGGCTCCCTCTCTTTTAAGCTTTAGGTGAAATGTGACATGATCTCTCTCTCTCTCTCTCTCTTTTAAAATCTACTTCTTAACTCGGTTCGAAGCATCACTCCCTTGTTGATTTTGCTAATTTGATTTATTTATTCTGCTCTTTATTGTATTTTAATTGTTTCATAGTCACAACGTGAGGGAATAAATTAAAAGAATCCTTCATTTTTAGAAGGTTCTACCTTTTTAGGAGCTTCTTAGCCCTCTTTGTGCTCAACATCCTCTGTCCCCTTTCTGTACTGATAGAAGCTGTTCAGCATACCGTAAACACCTTGGCATGGTGACCCCCCTCCCCCGAGCCATGGCGGAAACTGATTTTGTTAATTTTTTTTTTTAAAAAAACTCTTATCCACAGAAATAATGCTCTTCAAGCCTGCAATTTCAGAATGCCACCTGCTGAAATAGTTAATAGGTAATAGCAGGTCATGATCAGTGGGTTTTATGCAGTTTTCCCAGATGGTGCTCCCAGTTCATGCTAGCTGAGAAACAGAAAAACCACAAGCAAGACATCTGGGAACTGCTGCTGGGAAAGAGCTTTGTAGAAATCCCAAGGCAAGAATCTCTTCTGGGCAGTCCCCAGGATCACAGCTGACTATTTTCATTTTGGTTTGTTGCAAAGAGTTTCCCTGAATTAAAACAAAAACATCTTATGGCTATAAACACATTGTAACTGAGCCCCCTGAAATGTTAATAATAATAATATTTTATTGGCAGCATTTTATTTTGTTATGGGAAGAAGAATTGTCTTGATTCAGATGTGAGAAACATAATATAATTGATTGAAAATTAAAGGAAATTTCTCATTTTAGAAGCAAGAGCGAACAGACCAGGCTGATGACAATGTTACAGGTGTATTAAAAATTGTATAACACATTCAAAAAAAGCATCTCAGCAGCAAAATACAATACTTACTGCAATTGTCACCACAGTTCGATCAGCAAATGCAGTCATTACAACCTTTTGAAGAATATTTTCCTACATAAGCAGATTAACAAATATTTGTGTTAATTCACACACATGCATAAACAGAAACATTGTGTGCAAACTACCTAATTAAAAAAACAAAGAAATTAACAATTTTGCTTCCTTTTCAGGGACATGTCATTTGTAAAGACAGTCTGTAGAAACTTACAGTTGCCATGTCAATTGATGCTGTGGCTTCATCCATAATGAAGATACTTGTCTTCCGTACAAAGGCCCTAGCCAAGCAGAACAGTTGCCTTTGCCCCAGGCTGAAGTTTTCTCCACCTTCTGTGACAATGGCATCTGATTGGAATAAAATTAATATTTAGAGGGAACCTGTGAAAATATATGGGTTCCAGTGACAACGTGCCTTAAGAGCCAACAGTAATTGTTGAGGTAGTGGGGGAGCAGCACCTTTGGACCTGCACCTCACCAGTCTTATGACTTCTCTTTGTGTTCTGTTTTCTCTTTAGACAGATGGCCTTTCTCTACGAGCCCCGTGCTCAGGCAGAGGAAATGGCAGGAAAGAACTTGAGAGGAAGAAATGGTAAGAGGAAAACCAAAGTAGTGCTTCAAAAACAAATAAACAGTGAAGGAGTGGGAAAGAAGCCAAATGCTGAGAGAGAAGGAACTAGGGTGGAGTCTCCTCTGCCTATCTAAGTCTTTACAGCTGCATCATGTGAGCCTACCTGTCATGGCGGTGGGTGGAGACAAGCCATCTCTGAGTGCCTCCTTCCCCCTAAACACAGAGGTGGAGGGAGCCCAAAGCTTCATTCAGGCTTGTGCGTAACTTCTGACCAGGTCTCCCCATTTAGTCTGTGAGGCCACTATGGTCAAGCCATGCCCACCTGCCCTCACCTGGCTCAGATTGCCAGCACTTGTGTCTTGGGTCTTGCAGAGTGCTTTGTGGGCTGTGCATTTGTTCACAGTTTAATTCAAAACAGGGTCACCTGACATCATTGTGATGTCAAGTGACTGTCAGGGCAGCCCCACCCACATGCTAAATGTGGCCCATGGGGAGTGAGAGAGAGAACAATATGGCCCACTGGGTGGTTCCAGTTCCCACCCCTGCACTAGACCATGGATTTAATGTTACATGTGAACCAGTTCATTTTAAGTCTTTCCTGGTATCTTTCTGAAGTGCTGAAGAAATGTTGAAAACCAGTTTGACCAAGATCAAAGCAGGATAGAAAAAAAATGCATCACGTATAGTGTATTTTCTACAATTTCACTTCCAATAAAGGTATACTATGCAGCTTAACTTCAACTAACAATATTTTTAATGCTTGGATTTCCTCAGAGGTAAAGGAGTTATTACCTAGCCCCCCAGGTAAAGCTTTCACCACATGCTTCAGTTGTGCTATTTCCAAAGCTTCCCACAGCATGCTGTCTGTGCATTTCTTTTCTGGATCCAGGTTAAATCTGTGAAAAAAGAAAAACAACTAAATAGCATCAAGCCATTTAGCTTTTTTGACACCTGAGGTAAGCAGCCACATGTAATGTTTGCCTTGGTATCTTATGCACTTTAAAGAACAGGGCACAAAATATTGCCAGTCTGGCAAGAGAACCAAGGGTGGGGTTTTTTTTGTTTTGTTTTTTACTATGACTGTGTCCCATAGATTGAAAGATCAAACCTATCCATTCTTAAGGAAATCAGCCCTGAGTGCTCACTGGAAGGACAGATCCTGAAGCTGAGGCTCCAATACTTTGGCCACGTGATGAGAAGAGAAGACTCCCTGGAAAAGACCCTGATGTTGGGAAAGATGGAGGGCACAAGGAGAAGGGGACGACAGAGGACGAGATGGTTGGATAGTGTTCTTGAAGCTACCAGCATGAGTTTGACTAAACTGCGGGAGGCAGTGGAAGACAGGAGTGCCTGGCATGCTCTGGTCCACGGGGTCACTAAGTCGGACATGACTAAATGACTAAACAACAACAACATACATACTGTACATGCCTTGCAGTAACCCAAGTAACAAAAATCATTGGGAAAGGTTAAGTAGACCATCGTGTTATAAATCATTTGTGCTGTGTTCAGGTAAACACAGCAAGTAATTAGCCACATATTTTCATGTTAAAATCCAGCAGTATACCATAATATACTGAAAGAATGGGATGGAGGGATCCATCTAGAAATACTGCAATTGTCTTTTCTGTAATTCCTTTCCAGTGAATTGTGATTTTTGGACCCAGGGAGGATCCAAAACAACAATGCATTGAACCATTATTGTTATCCAGGCTCCTTTTCTTATAGAAGACATTCCTCTTTCCCTTTTGAGAGATGGAACAGCAAGTCCCAGCAGCAGCCAGCAGTGATTTTGCAACAGCAGTCCATGCAAATTGCAAACAGTGACAGATAGTGCAGGCCATGATCACAAACGTGCCTAATTACTTACATGATGATTATAACACTTACCGTATTGTTCCGCTGAACAAAATGGGGTCTTGGAGAATGATTGACAACCTGGATCTCAGTGTTTGTAAGGGAAGCTTGGCAATGTCTATGCCATCTATAATGATCCTTCCTGTGGGTTGTTTGTAAAAAAATGAATGGTGTTCATATGCTTCATCACATGGCTTATTTTTCTAGCTGTATCTCACAGGCACTCAAGCCAGAAAGCAATATACCTCATTCACCTCGCTCAGGATGCCACTATAGGTACAGCAGCTTAAACCCTCTTTACTTCACTGTAGGTAAATGGATATATAGGATTTGAAATTTAGGCACCCAGATTATAATGCCGACATCTAAATAAAATACCGTAAGTGGCTGTTATGTATCTGGATGCAAGATACAGTTAAACTGTGGAATTGCTCTTATGGGAGGCTGTCATGGCCACCAAATTAGATGGCTTTACTCCTCTTCTAAGGGGACGCGGGTGGCGCTGTGGGTAAAACCTCAGCGCCTAGGGCTTGCCGATCGCATGGTCGGCGGTTCGAATCCCCGCGGCGGGGTGAGCTCCCGTCTTTCGGTCCCAGCTCCTGCCCACCTAGCAGTTCGAAAGCACTCTTAAGTGCAAGTAGATAAATAGGTACCGCTTTATAGCGGGAAGGTAAACGGCGTTTCCGTGTGCTGCGCTGGTGCTGGCTCGCCAGAGCAGCTTCGTCACACTGGCCACGTGACCCGGAAGTGTCTGCGGACAGCGCTGGCTCCCGGCCTCTTAAGTCAGATGAGCGCACAACCCTAGAGTCTGGCAAGACTGGCCCGTACGGGCAGGGGTACCTTTACCTTTACTCCTCTTCTAAAGCCATATAAGTTGATGGACAAAAGAACCACAGAGGAGAGGGCTACCAGTCATGATGTCAGTGCTCTATCTCCATGGTCAGAGGCAGTATGGAAACCACAGTCTAGGAAAGTGCTATTGTGTCCAGGTCCTGCTTGCAGGTTTTCCACTGTCATCCAGTTGGCCACTATGAGAACAGAATGCTGGACTTGATGGGCCATTGGCCTAATCCAGCAGGCTGTTCTCATGTTCTTATATTCTTAAGTACGTCACTTAGCCAGAAAAGCCTTGGATTCTCATCATGAATAAGGCCATTTGGTTTGTTACCTGCAAAAGGGCTTTCTGTACATGTAAAAATTTGACCTCAGAGTATGGGAGTTGAGCTCTACCTAGTGGTTGAAGGCAAAATCATTGCCCCCTCCTTTGGAATCCTCAAGTTCTAAAGGAGAGAGAGGCTTTGAAAGTTCTAGCTGGAGCAGGGCTTTTGCTTTCAACCACTAGATGGAGCTCAACTCACACTCTGAGGTCATTTTACATACACAGATAATAATCTGCAATATTTTCAAATATTACAATCACCTGCAGAAAATTGAAATTTTTTTACCACTGACATCAGTAAAAACAGCTATATTTAACAGTACAAGCATGCTAAAACGTAAGTTACCATGCAGAAAGTAAACTTTTTACCAGTAAGTCTGTATAAAAAAAAAAGGGGGGGTCACCACCTTGCTCTGCTGTATTATGTCAGAGATAGCAAACAGCCAAGTCAAATAGTATTTTATGTCAACTTGGGAGATGGGTGTGGCAGGAACTGGAAAAGGAGATGTGCTCTCCTCTTTGAAATGTAGCCAGGAGGATCACAGATACAAATGAAACTAATAGTAACTCATCCTGATGTGTACAAATGTAGCTTTACCTTCAAAGGTGTCAACCATCCTGAAAAAGGCAAGAGAAAAGGATGATTTTCCACTGCCTGTTCGGCCACATATGCCAATCTGCAAATCATAAATAAACCAGTTTTATAATGGGAATGGCAAAGAAAATATTAATTCAATAGAATGGGAAACACAGGTACAGAGTGATTGCCACAAGCACTAGTAAGTAATGCTACATGTGAATGGCAGACTAGAAGGGGTTTTTTTTGCTTGTTTTCTTGAGAAGACAGATAATTTATGACCAGCTTGGGGTACAGTTACATTACTAGCAGTGCTTATTGCTCCATAAGCTGAGTTGGAGCCAGAGTTGTGTTCAGTGGAATTCTACTCATGCTTGACATAAATGGGCAGAGAAGCAGTTTTCACTGATTCTTCCTTTTCCCTGCAGCCCCCTGAAAATTGTTCCACAGGGTTGGAGTAGACTCCAGAACAGTGGGAGGCAGCAATAGAGGCTGCAAGAGGAATTGGCCACAATCATTACCCTACACCTCCAGTTTGCATCCAATTCAGTGTGTCTGTGTGTGAGAGGGATCTTGCTTTGCAGTATGCATCCACTTAATTACTTTAGAAAAAGGATAGATCTAAAAACTTTGAAAACAGGGATACTGAATATATTTCTCTTATCATTTCAAGCCTCCCATTTTTAAAGTTTCAATTTCTTATGCCCACAATGGCAGCAGGGTGCAGAACTCAGTTAGAGATTTGACTTTATAAACCCTTTTTATAAACTGTGTATTTCTGTTGGGTATCAGATCTCCTTGTATAATACCATTGGCTTGGAAGATATATGCATGACTTTACAACTTCAATCCTATGCAAAGTTACCTGAGAGCATGTTTTACTGATCTCAGTGAGATTTACTTCAGTGTAAACACGCTTAGGATCCAGCTGCCAAAGTGTAAATATAGAAAACATTTACATGAACCTCAAAACAATGGGGGTTTTTTTGGGGGGGGGAGGGAAGAGATTATATTGTTTCATCTTGTTTAAAATAGGGACAATATTCTGGAATAAGAAATGGTTCTGCTCTCAATAATATAGTTTTCATGGGTTTTGACAGCTAATGTCATTACTTTGAGTGATCATTTGTATTACCTTTTGCCCCGGAGAGATGTGGGCACTGACATGCTTTAGCACAGGCTTCAGAGTACTGTCATAGCGAACACACAGATTCTGTATCTGAATCTCACCATGGTCAGGCCAGTTCTGAGGAATTTGTGCTGGGGCTGCAATCCAAACAAAAATAATATGTGGAAAACTGTTTTTTAAAAAATTAGTTTTCTAAAAGTTCATGGCTATTAATGAGATTTAAGTGGGAATAATTACAGCACCATACTTACACAACAGCCCTTCATCACTTTCAGCCTCAGTTTTCATGAGGCCGTTGAATCTTTTCACAGCTCCAAGCTGGAGTTCCATATCAGCCAGGTTGCGAACCATCCAGTTTAGATAGTTAGAGACCTAGAATAAATAGTTAAGATTTGTGTCTGGAACTGGTATAGAATGTAGGAAGGATCTCATAACCAACATTTCAAATTATTCGAAGTTGTCGCTGTCTGCTCCCATGAAAGAAAATGACAGCTTCCATTTGTCCAGAAGTCTAAATATTTGACTACTATGCCAGTCTTCTAGGTCAGTAGTTCCCAAATTCCACCCTTCCACGATCCACTTCAAAACTGCAGAAGGTCTTGACAGACAACTTAATATTTTTTTCTGCCTGTTGTAGCAATTGTAATGTGCTATGCAAGATTCTGTATGGTTTTTAATTTAATTTTTACAGCCATGCCGCAGACCACCTGAATGAAGCTCACGGGCTATTAGTGGATGACCATTTAAAAACCCCTCTTCTAGGCCACTCAAATGCCTGTCAGTTATTATGAATAAAACTATTAGTGGGAATAAAACTATTGGGATATTATACACTTTAAATTTACCCCAGCTAATTTTTATGATTACAGTGTTTGGCCACCAGCTGCCAGTTTGTTAAGCTTGAGACACCTAAATGCTTAGGCCTATATTATGCTGCATATTTTCAGAAACCAATGCAGAAACCAATCAACTTTAACACCTGACTGGAGCCTCTCCTCTTTAACTTACTTACCATCAGAGCATACGTTAATCCCAAGCCTACAAGACCCGATGAGAGGTTATCGTAGAGAGATTTTGTAATTGAAGCAACAGCTGCAATGAGCACTATACATGCCCCAATATACTCCTAAAAAAAAAAAAAGTAATAGAAATCATCATAGCACACAAGGAGATAGCAATATTTTAACTATTTTTGAAACTTCAGAATCAAATACAGTGGTCCCTCGGGTTAAGTACTTAATTCGTTTCGGAGGTCCGTTCTTAACCTGCAACTGTTCTTAACTTTAGCTAATGGGGCCTCCTGCTGCTGCTGCACCGCCGGAGCACGATTTCTGTTCTCATCCTGAAGCATAGTTCTTAACCTGAAGCACTATTTCTGGGTTAGCGGAGTCTGTAACCTGAAGCGTATGTAACCTGAGGTACCACTGTACTAGGCTTTTGGATTTACTGAGGCTGGTCAGGTTCTAACATTTGACCAGGCCAAGTATTGAGGCAATTATAGAGAATAATCTTGAGGTGAGTACTGTATAATACTTTGACCCTGTGGAGTAATTGGATAAATTTGCATGAATGGAGTGTCCATACTGATGGGGTGAGGATGGATTTGTGTGAATGGTATGCGGATGAGTGTGCGGGGGATTGCACTTTGATCCCACCCACTTTTGACTGTGGCCCCACCCCCTTTTGGATTTGGTGCTTCCCACTACTGGCATGCAGTACCTGGAAAGATACCCATGAGAGATTGTGGCCATTGGGTTGAAAAAGACTCCCAGGTTTGCATTACAGAGACCATTTGCAATGGTATTAACTAAAGCCAAATTTGGATTGTCAGATTTTCTTCTTATAATGGTCTTGATCCATTTAACTGATGTGCAACAAGCAGAAGTTAAGACTCCTCTGGCAAGCAGGATAATAATAAAGCTTTGCCTATTGAGCTTTAGCAACTGAGAATTTGGTTGTTATGCAACTGTTAAAGACACAGGAGCCTTTACCAGAGAAAAACTGGCAATCCTAATCAATTCCCATGATAAAGCAAACCATCTATTGCCATTGACATAAACTTAATGACAGAGAATGTACTTGCCATCCGAACTTCCAGCCAACGATTGGCAGCTGTAAGGAAAAGGGAAGCAATGTTGTTGGAATCTGTATATTCAAGAAGCTTCTGTTTAAATCGGGATTCATACCTTTATAAAAGAGAAATGAGAGACACCCAGATGTTAGTGTGAATGTCCATTCATAATAGCAAGGTATATTTTATGGCTTGCTTATGCAAAATAAGGGATTCTTTTGAAAGGAATTGTTGAACTAGCAGTAGATCTTATATGAATAAATATAAGTAACAACGGCCTTTTCATTTATAGTCATGCCAGCAATTAGAAGGAGGATCAGAACAGGGAATTCAAAGAACAACAAAGTTTTAAGACTGTGTGTTGAAAGTTTTCAAAATATTGTCAGTAGTTCAAAAGATTACACTTGTGACAGTGAGTTCATTAATTTAAATTCTAATTCTCTGCTACTGAACTATTACACAGATATAAGCAAATAGGTGCTATATTTATATATGGTGAATAATTTAGATAAAGTAGAAGGGTCATGCACTGAGCAGCAATAATATATAGACATAGTGGTTTATAAAAATATAGTTTATGAAGATTTATTTGCCATTATATAATCATTTTTCCCCTTGCCTATTTTGATCAAATTGAAAATACCTGCCATGAGGGTCAAGAAGAACAAGGATTTGCTATCTAGCTCTTTAATTTAGTTCTGTTTCAGAGCTAATTTTAGAAACTCAAGATCTGAATACTTTGCTGAGAGATTAGAATCCAAATGTCACTTCTGCTGCATGTAAGGCAGCTGAAACTAAGTGCCTAAATATAGCACATGAAATAGCTTGACAATAAATAAAACACAGGAGCTGGTAAATGCTCGCTTCTGTCTGGGTCAGAGGTATATCAATTATTTTGAATTCAATTTGCCTGCCTAAATTCTGAGCTTGTGCTGCCAGGCAGCAATTTCAAGGTGCCAGCTTGCCTTCTATAGACAATATTAAAGGAAGTTTTTGTTCATGCAAAGCTCTGCGGAGTCCTGTGCTAATGGTTACAAGGACATTTTTATTTTCTCAACTGGAGAAAGTTGGAATATATATATATCACAAGTCATGAGTTAAATACATAATGGAACATGGTTGACTTAGTTTTCCCAGTGGTATAGAATGCCAATTAGCAGGAACTGATTCTAGAAGCCTAACTAATATATGATAATCATAGTAATTAAAATATAAATAGAACTAATTTTGCTGCTTATGGTCTACCCAGCCTCTCTATACAACTTAAAATAGCTAGCAGGCTATGATGGCACAGTGCAAGTCAACACAAATACTGTAAGATGGTGTCCTTGTGCAAATTGAAACAAATGGAAACGTACTGCTTCATGTCTAATTTGGCTCTTTCCCATTTTATGCCTACTTGTTGCTATAGCATTGGGGCACCAAGGCTTGCAGATGGGAGAAGAGGAAACACATCCCACAACCAGTGATCTTGACGTGCTAATTGGGACTGCTTTTCCTAAGCCAGGATGGGGAACCTTTTTCAGCCTGAAGGTGACATGCTATCATGGTCAACCTATGGAGGTCACATGACAGCCATGGGCAGACAATGGGCAGAGCAATCTACAGTGGAACCATCTGTACGCAGAGCATTGGATGTGACTCTTAGGATAGTAGGCTGCATTGGAGCCATGCGAAAGTCAGTGGTTTCTGTCTGCCCACAAACACCTCTCTCCAGTCTCTATCCAGGCATGCAAGAGGCATTGTCATACTTCAAGGACACATTCAAGCAAAAATAGAGCAGGGTGGTGAGGAGTGTTGCCTGGGAAGTGTCCCAAGGGCTAAACAGAGAGGCTTGTCTGAGGGTTTCCACCCCAGACCTAAACTTTATAATTTCCAAAAAAATGCTGCGATGAACAGTGTTTGTGCAATTCACTGACACAGACAGTTTGTGCCATTTAGTTTTGGCACTGAAAAGGACAGAGGTGGCAGGAGTTGCTTAGGGAAGAGTATGCACAACTTCCCCAACCCTTATTCCAAACTAGAGCCATGTGGCACACAGCTCCCCCTGCTCATATTCTCCATCAATTCTTTTTGTGCCAAGATATGGGAACAAGACTGCTGAGCATAGGACAGGGCAAAGCACTGTCCATTCTGACTTGCAGCAGCTCTCCAGGCAGAGAGAGGTTTTTCCCATCCCCTGCTACTTTATGGTTTCTACCTGCAGATACCAGTGCTGCAGCTGGGACCTATTACGTACAAAGCAGGTGCTCCGCCATTGCGCCATGGTCGCTGCACCAGGGGAATAGTGTGGAATGATGTCATGGGCATACTTGAAGTTCGGGTTTAGATGTGCAATGGATTAATATATGCTCACCCATGTTGAAGGTGCCCTTAAAGGTACTAGAGGAAGACTACACTCGGGCACTTAAATATATTACCCATTTCTATAATGTACCTTTTAAGCACTATGGTAATATAAATAGTGACACTATTATTTAGAGTCTTATGGGGCTTGTTGTGGTTATCTATAGTTACCAAATTCTTCATACATAAATAGAGTGAGGCAGTTTATTCAGTACATAACCACAAAATTCCTTGCAGTTTTGGAAAACCCTTACAACTTAAAAATAAAACAAATACCTGAATGCTCGTATAGTTGTTAGACCTTCCACAGTCTCTGAAAAATGAGAAAGTAATGGGAGCTGGGTACTGTCATCCAATTGCTGCAGATCCCTGAAAACAATGTTTTATTTTTAAAAAGCAGTCAGTTTCCCCCCCGATAAGAAATTGAGCTTTATTTAATGGGTATTTTATTGCTAATGCAACTGTTAAAATGCAGAAGTCTAACCAGGAAACAAACTGGGAGTCTAAGCCTAAAATGGTACCTGTTGTAAAGAGTAAAAATAAGGCAGGAGCTACCAGGAAAAGCAAGATGATAATCATTAATTCAGACATGGGCTAGATGTGCTATCTTTTCCATTTGTACTTCTACATAGACTCATATATACATAAATACAAAGTCATATACCTACATATAAACAAGCCATTTTTCATACACTGTGACATACTTGTGAATTGCTTACCTTGATGCTACTCTAAAGTATTTCTGGATGAAATAGCATATGACAGCAAGAGGAACTAGAGCTATGAGAAACACAGGTGTAACATACGAAATCACAGCAAGAGCAGATAAACAGAGCAGGGTAGAACGGCTCAAGCACTCCAGGGTGGCGGGAATGTGCTAAGCAAATAAACACACAGAATAAATCAATAAATATTAAGTGCAATGAAAATAAATCAATGCTACCATGAAATCAACAGTTCATTTTCTCTTTCTTCCCTCTTTCAAAACAAGGCCATGTATAGTGCTGAATAATTAATTTTAGATTTGTGTTTGATACTTGGTTTTTAAAAATTCAATAAATATTTAATAATTATAATATTCAGTAAAAAGACTGTAGGATTTTAGTGAGACTTTGTATAGCTTCATTGCTCAGGCAGAAACTAGTCTGCATGAATTTTTAAACAATTAATAGCACAATTAATAGCACAGGACTGGGTTGCCAATTGGGAATCTCCTGAAAGCCTATTAGGAAATTCAAAAATTGAATGTCATTCTTATTTTAATATGAATAAGCCATTAATTATTGCTGTGTCTACATTCAGTATTCCTGGGTTGAACAAAGTTAGGGCTGCCACTGAAGCCTGTTACTTCTAAATTTGTGATAAACTGCTTAAGAGAAATATTGGGAAGTTATTCCTACAGTGAAATATGATCATAAACATGTTGCAGTTTCTGAGTTAAATTTGCATGAGGGCAATGGTACTTGGTGTGGTGAATAGAGTCATGCATATGGGAAAGCAAGTCCTACAGAAGATCGAGGCACAGTTCAGTATAAAGCAAGTAAGCAACATATTGTCTGGATTCAGATGTAATATGAACTAATGTAATATGAAACCTGCCAGATAACCATGTTTTGTTTTGTTTTTTTGCGGGGGGAACAAACCAGGGTCTGGAAATGCAGTTTGAAATTAAAAGAAACTGGAATTCGCATATTATTATATCTGAAATAACAGACAACTGACAGGCCACAGTTAGGGCCATTGTGGCTGCTTCACCATGAATGCAGGAGTGATTTTTGAAGCGGAGTCCTGAGCAGATGGGAAACAAAAGCAGGGCTTGTCTGCTGGACACCTGGAAGCTCATGCTACAGTGTGGGTTCTTAGTTTAGCACAAACCATGGTTTTGTGTTCCCTCTGAAGCCAGTCATTGTCAAGCTAACGGAAATGGGCTGATGAAAAAAAAAAAAAAAGGCAGCCACAGTTTTAGCCAAGGTACTTTGATGTAGCTCTTCAGACCCTGAAGGTATGATAGGCTTTTTATTTATTTTTAGTATCAAATTACATTCTCTTGTAATGAGATGTTCTCCTTTTTTATTTATTCTAAAGGATTTCCTCATGGAAATTTATATTAGTTACATAAAACGTTCTGACAGCATTGCTACAATGTATAAAATACTTCAATATCATTCCATAGCAACATTATTCATATTGTTCAACTATAGTCCAAATATAGTTTGCATTTAGATTATATTTTGCACTGAATGTGATTGGAAGAAATCAGAATTTACTTTTAGTGACTATTTTGTTTAGTGTGCCTACCTGGTCAATAGTGTTACAATCGGCTGAAAATCTGTTCAAGATACTTCCCAGGGGTGTTGTTTCAAAAAACCTGTAATAGGCAATTGAGACCACCAAGTTTGGCATTGAAAGAAATTTAAAAACTGATTTAATGTCTATTTCAGTTATTTCTGGATTACGAACAATACCAAACTCCACATAACTCTGTTCAACACTGGGGAATGAGAGAATTTTGTGTTATCAAATAAACTTTATATAATTCCTGATAATTAAACTACTATCAAATATATACACATATTATAGAAGTATGAATCACTCATCAGATTCAATTCATTGCACAAATTGAATGATACGATTAAACTGAGAGTTTTCTATTCAAAGATACAAAGAATTGCATACAGGTAACAAATTATTTGGAGGTCAAATGAATAGCAAAAAGTGAAAAAGTGTAAGCTTAGTGTGATATTAATATTTTATTAAATGATAAGGGATGATGGTTCTAAGACTCCATCCACAAATTCAGAGGAAAGCACATGGGAGGATTATATGACTTCAGATTGCAGGTGGGAAATTGCACGTCTGAATTCTCCCTTCATCTAAAAATACAGCATGTTGGGGAGAAGGCATAATAGTCTAGAATGGGAGCATTTCATTTACTTTCCACATTTTATGCTACATCCCATCAAATCAGTTATCTCTTCATTTAGTATAAACAGGAACACAAAATATTAAATATACTAAACAAAGAAAAAATGGCCTCTTCCTCATTATTCACGCTATGTTCCCTTACAATTAGAAATCAAAACCCTAATCAGGCCTCTAGTGATTTCTGTGATGCAATTCCCTCTTTGAGGCCTGTAAAAAGGCACCGTATTCCATGAGGATGGTAAAGATGAATTTGATGGGAAATTGGTCATTGACTTGTTAACATAACATAAATGATGGCCAAACATTTATTGGGTTTGGAAAGAAAGGAAATGTTATTTACTCATCTAAACAAGAATATATTCTGATATTAACTGTATATCTGCGTATCTGTTCAGTAAAAATCCCTTTTAATATGTTGTTTGAGATATAAAAGGTCTCAGGAGTTTAAAACCAATCCCAAATAAAGTCACAGTAATCAAACAGCCATGGTACGCTCTATTTTTCTGAACTGAAGAGTGAAACATTAGAATACTCTTCAAAGTAGAATAGATTTAAAGGAACGGAATACCACAGTGTCCATTGGGAGACTGTTGAGAGGGTCAATGGGAAGATTGTTGCAGCAGGAATAAGTAATGGACTCAGTGGGACTTTAGATGCTACTACATATTAGCATCTAAAGAGGGAGTAAGATCATTAACCCTTGGATCTAATGTTAGGTTCCAGAGTTAATGCTCTTACTCCCTCTTTAGATGCTAATGTGTATTACTTCAAATCTTGTTATGGTGCCCCCCCTCCCTATAGATGGTAAGATGGGGTAGACAGTGTGGTGGCCTCTAGTTGTTGCTGGACTACAATTCTCATCACCCCTGACAATTGGAGTGCATCACATTGGCTATCTCTGTGGAAATATCTATCACTTCATTTATTTCAAAATGCATTAGCCTAGCCCTACTGAGTTTTGGAGCTCACTCTGTTGAGGGCACTTGTATGTCAAAGCCCCACCCTGAGAGCATGAACCACTGACTGGACATAGATTGGACAAGACAACTATGGCAAATTATAATTGTTAGAGGAACATCTCTTACAATACACCTAGAGCTCTCTCCTCCTAACAATTATATGAATTGCATGTGTAGGGGACTGGAGTGACTGATCTTTTTTTAGCATTTTGCTTCCTTCCAGTGCCATAATTTTATGATTCTATGATAGGACAGTAATACATTTGTGCAGTGTAATATATAGTTGGATTGAGATAAAGGTAAAGGTAAAGGGACCCCTGACCATTAGGTCCAGTCGTGACCGACTCTGGGGTTGCGGTGCTCATCTCGCTTTCTTGGCCGAGGGAGCCGGCGTACAGCTTCCGGGTCATGTGGCCAGCATGACTAAGCCGCTTCTGGCAAACCAGAGCAGCGCACGGAAACTCCATTTACCTTCCTGCCGGAGCGGTACCTATTTATCTACTTGCATGGGGATATATTATTATTATTATTATTATTGAGTGATTGTTGTGGGACTGGATGAAGATGTACTGATCTTTAGGGTTATGAACTATGGATTAGGATAGGATTATGGTATATTGGATTAAATTGGAAATAATGGATGGGAACTCTGGGTTAGAATAGGATGCTGAGAAGGCCATTCATATGGTCTATCAATGTTTTTGTTTGCTTAGTAAAAGCCTTTTGGACAAGAAACTCTATGCTACTGCAGTTCGCCCTTGGGATCTTTGGGTGCACCAAAAACAAAACAAACAACAATTATTAATCACTGTTATCACAACATTATCTTTGAATTTCATGATAGTAGAATACCTCATTGGGGCCAAAATAATTTTATTCAGCAGAAAACAATGTAGTTTCTTGGCAACTTTTAAACCAGTCCATTCTACTGCTATTGATGTTACAAGACACAATATAATTCCAAGGCAACAGAGAATGCTGAATATTCTTGTATAAGGAGAATGATTAAACTTGGATTCCTAAAAGAGAGGACAGAGAAGAAAAATGGTGAAACAAAAAACACAAAACTTGTAGAATTGCAGGATTAATAACTGTAGGGTATTTCCCCATTTAACTGTCTACATAGCTACGGTACTTACTTCAGTCTCTCTTGATATTTATGAAAATAAAGCATTCAGCACTTAGACTTTAGGTTTGCTAAGATACAGATATATAATTTGGCAATGCTTGAAATTAAACATTTAAAATACAATGACTATAGCAGAAATGGGCTAGTATGCACATCTAGTTGTTACTTATCCTCAACCACTGTGCAGAAGAGCAGACTATGTCAGTCCATCAATGGAATGGACTTCTGCTTCTGCAAGGAGACAGCCTTTTCTTCTCCTCCCCACTGCTGTCTGCTATGGCCCCACAAGTCTCCTCTGGAGCACTGGGGATCTTTTAGAGCAGATTGGGGGCACAGTGGGGAGAAGGAGGACGAGGAGGTTCAATTGCACAAGTAGAAGTCTGCTTGTGCAGAGTTTGGCTATCACCCTATGAGTTTAAATAAAATAGATTGCTTACTTATAAAACACAAATTGCCAGAAATGATTCAATCTCATTTTTTTATTAATTAATGCCAGCATCACATCTGACTCACATGAACAATTAATCCCTCCTTGAAACAAGTAACTTAATTATGTTGATCTTCTTTGAATCGATTCTGTCTTTTTTATTAACACAGACAGAGTTTCCATGCCATTGCAATTTACATAAGATATAATTCTTTAGTTGAGAATAATGGTTGTACAGGAAAATGAAAGAGTTTTAGAAAATATAATTGTAATGGTTGCTTCAATTCTTAACTCTTCTGATGAGTTAATTATGATTAATAGTAATGTAGGGCTGCAGAAGGGGAACTCACATCATGAGGTCATGCCATGAAAGAATTTCAATAGATGTTTACAGAAAATTGTGAGTACAAACGCTGAGATACCATGTTTGGTGGCAGCCCTATATATCCACATTACGTGTTCAAAATACTTGTGCTATCTTGTTCGCATGACGAAATATGTGCTTTTATAGATTCATAATGCAATCCTAAAATGTCACTCAGAAGGAAATCCCATTGAGTTCAATGGGATTTACTCCCTAGTAAAATGGTTGAAGACTGCATTGCAACAGTACTGCAAATGCATAAAATACTTCTTTTTAAACAATTTGCAGTATCTAGAATGCTACATCCCAGAAAGCAAAACAAAACATAGTAATACTCTCTATTCATGCTATTTTCAAGGACCACTTGAAATGTAAACAACTTCAGAGAGCATATGACTTTTGTATAGTATATACCTGAGTAGAAAACTAGGAAGATATTACTTTGCATCAAGAGATCAGTGTTGGGATCTTAGAAGGCACCATACCTCACAAACAGAGCAGTTCTTCTCTGTGGGTCCCACCTTGAAAGCAATAGCATCATATGTCCACTGTGCCAACCAGAAGTCAATGGACACCATAACAGAATGCTTTAGGAGTTGTGAAAGAACCAGCAAAGGCAAGAGGAGGAATCCTGCTGAGCTAAGGTATTTCCCACATGCTCGCCAAGGCATCTTTGCTCTTTGGTGAAGGACAGAAGATAGATTGTCATCATCATCACTTTCTGGAATTTCATCTGTAAAGGAATATTGTACTGTAAAATAACCTTTCTCCCCCTCATCTTTATGTAGTGCTAACAATACGTTAAGTCCTGGAAAAACAGGACTAGCTTTTCTTGCCCCTAGACCACAAGTAGCTAACTTGCGGCCTTCAGGAAGTTGCTAGAACAATTCCCATCAGCCACAACCAGCATGGTCAATGCTCCACAGGGGCAGCATGTCTCATTTCTTCACTTGAGGCAAAATGGGAAGTACTACCTTGCTATCATCGTCTGCCCTGCTGCTGCAGTACTGGCTAATGGCTGACCTAGCCCTGATGCTCAAGGATAATGTAGTCCAACAGCATATAGAGGGCTAAACTACTTCCAGAGGTGATCTAACATGTTTAATCTTTGCATTTTTATTCACAACAAGGCCCACGTTCAAGGGGACTTACTAGCAAGCAAGTATGTAACAGATTGCAGTTTTCTTCCAGTTTGTCCATTTTGCTCTATGCATGGTAGGTGGGGTGAGTAGACACATGAACTGAAAACCTCAAAATATTATGTAGATATTTTCAGGTGTTTTGTGCGTATATTCAAATGTATACAAAAGAGTATGTAAATGCGGACAGACTAAAGCACTGATACAAATCTAAAGAGAGGATATTTTAACACATCTACACTGATTCCAGTGGCTCCTTCTTTCAAGAATAAACCACTTTTACATAATGTGGTGGCTTAAGAATTCTATGATAGAAAATAAAAGCTCTACAAAAAAATAAGTAAAATAGTAGGTCTGTTGACTAGCCATTCATTATTCTCACATTACTCTCACATTTAAAGAGAGTTTAAATTATTTAACAGATCTTCAGAATTTTCTCGGGACACCATCATTTATAGATGCATGGAGTAATCCAATCTTAGCAGTCCACAAGAAAAGTGACCCTTGTATTACTTCTGAAGTCTTTCACAATGAAATAAATACCTACATGTGCATGAATGTTCAATTATGGCTCTAACGTGCAGTTAAAATTAGTTCTGCTGAAACAAGAATCTCCTATTAAACTTGTGCTAGCAAACAAAGAATACCTTTGACTTGTACATCAGCAGTTAAAAAATACTTTATTGGCGTTGTGAACTACTGTCAAGGACAGAATGACAAAAATTATTCAGAAAAGTCCTGTTTGGAATACAACTTCACCTTCATCCTCCTCTTCATCTTGGAGAAGAGTTTCTCGAGAATTCTTTGTCCTTTGGAGGTTTGTCCTGTCTAACACAGCTTTTCGTTCGATTAAGGTCTCCTAAAAGCAGGAGAAACAAGTGACACTGAGTGTGCAGGTTTTTCGTTTTTAAAGGTTTTGTTTCCAAACAATTATATTTTCAAATCAATCTGCTGTTAGAAATGAAGCGAGTAAAATGCATTTAACTGTCATGAATTAGGAATCCCTTAGGCATACACACACCAGGCTCTCAAGATAGCCAATGCCATCTATCACTTGAGGGTGAAGCAGACATAATGGCAGCTCAGCCATTAACTAAGATTAAGAGATCAGGATATGCATTTCAACACCAGGGTTTGGAGCATCACAGCTAAGTTCAACAACAATCAGATTATACCTAGCTATGGCCAAGAGGGTGAGCATAATTCACAAATGAGAGATAATGTACTGAGTAGGAGAGAGAGAGTTCTAGCTAATAGGGATAGTTACTTCAGGCAACTGATTAATTAAAAAAATAATCAACTACAAAGGCCTGTTGGCACCACACCTCTGATCGTCCTGCTTCTATTCAGTATTCACATTTTAAACATCTTTCCCAATATGTAAACATAATACGGGACACTGCAGAGCAAACCCCCATTGTGCTAGTGTGCTTTTATGGATGGGACAGAGGTGTCCTGAAAGGGTGTTATCTCAAAAGGGTGGTGTCCTGGCAGCAGTCCACATAATACTTTGAAATGGGGTATTGCAGGGGAGGGGAGGGGCTGCCCAGGACCCACTGATTCCCAAGCTGGTTCCACTGCATTACATGATGGCATCAGGCTCATTTTGGGCTCGATTCTTTTGCCACTCCCAGGTTTTTGCAGCAATTTCCCTCCTGCTGCCTTCCACCTTGCCTGGTGTCAGCTGCAGGGCTGAGGTCCTACCACTCTGTTAAGCTCTAGTCCAAGGCCATGGTTTGGATTGCATCCTAAGTCAACCAATTTCTTCTTCTTTGTATGTTATGACCTTACTTTTATTTACTATGGTCAAATTCCAGTTTTCTTATGCAAGAACATCTCTTTGGGAAGGTTGATTCAAACGTGGTTTCAGGTACAGACCATACAGAAGAATAACACCTCCCTTGCCAAACTGAGTGATGAAGTATCATTGTATAATTCCTGATATGTGACACTAGAGGGGGTTAGGAACGGGAAAGGCACCCCTCTTCCACATTCTGGTGGCCTCTGCTGCTGCAGACAGGTGAGCATGGGGACTTCATCTCTGCAGAGGCCCCTGTTGCACCCGCAGGTGAATGAGAAGCTATCTCTGGGTATGTTCAGATTACCGCTTGTTGTTGTTGTTATTGTTTAGTCATTTAGTTGTGTCTGACTCTTCATGACCCCATGGACCAGAGCACACCAGGCACTCCTGTCTTCCACTGCCTCCCGCAGTTTGGTCAAACTCATGTTCATAGCTTTGATAACACTGTCCAACCATCTCGTCCTCTGTTGTCCCCTTCTCCTTGTGCCCTCAATCTTTCCCAACATCAGGGTCTTTTCCAGGAGTCTTCTCTTCTCACGAGGTTGCCATAGTATTAGAGCCTCAGCTTCAGGTTCTGTCCTTCCAGTGAGCACTCAGGGCTGATTTCCTTCAGAATGGATAGGTTTGATCTTCTTGCAGTCCATGGGGCTCTCAAGAGTCTCCTCCAGCACCATAATTCAAAAGCATCAATTCTTCGGCGATCAACCTTCTTTATGGTCCAGCTCTCACTCTCATACATCACTACTGGGAAAACCATGGCTTTAATTATTCAAACCTTTGTTGGCAAGGTGATTACCGCTTACTTGATAGCAAGTGTCCTCCCATTACTAGTTTCTGAGGCTGCATGCACATGATGCTGCCACAATCCATATCAATCCTGTAGTTTCTTGACGAAAACTGCTGCTTGATGTGTTTTTTCTCAAACTAGCTTCAATCTGACTAGAAAACTAGATGTAGAGTAAGTCATCTCACATATGCAGGTCAGCACATTATGTGCAGATGGCAGCTTAATGAATAGGAGGGGCTTTTTTGGGGGTGCTGTGTTCTGGGGATGCACACCAAAAAGATCATACACACCAGGGGAATGCATTCCCAACCTTTCTCTGATGTGAACAACACTGTGCAACTGTGGCTTGAAACGCAGCAGGGTAAAATTACTAATGTGAACTTTCTGTCTGGCAGTGTTTCTGCTGGTGGTAGCTGGTTTATGGCTTCAAAACAGGCAAGGCTAGTGATGGATCTATTTGATTCAAAGCTAGTCCATTTGTCGGAGAAGGTTCCGATCTGGACCCTTCTGCACCCCCAGCCTGGAGCTGGCACAGGAAGGAAGACAAAACAACTGCCCCATCTCTAACCGCCATCCTGGTTGGCACAAATGGGATGGATCCCCCACTTTGTTCTTCCCTGCTGGATTCTGGACTGTCCTGCTATTCATTTGAATTTCATTTATCATTCCATATTTTTGAACTACAAATGCTTCAGGTAATGTAAACCTAAAGAAAAACTAAACTGGCCTTCTCCAGATCTTGGTCCTGTCGATTCATGAGTGTTTTCCAGTGTTCAAAGAGCTCGGATTCTGATTTCTGAATATCTTTGAGAGTGCCTTCTCTTTGAATGGTACCATCTTTCATTGCAATAATCTGAAACAATATAAGATATAGCTTGTCAACAAAGTCTGTTCTTTAAAAAAAAAACACCACACATTAAAAGCTGCTTTAATTAGTATACATGTTTTTAACTCATATTTAATTCCTGCTAAGTTTCTTTCTTTTTTGATTATATATTTATTTTACTTGCTTAAAGGAGGGCTTGTTCTCCCTCATCCAAAGATAGTTTTAAACTTCACATAACTTGTGAATGACAAGCAGAATTAAGCTATGTGTTAAAATTTTTTATTCTAATAGGTGAACTTGTTTTGAGTGTGCAATGCCACTCTTTTTAGAAAGTCTATCGTGGTGCTTTAAAAGGAGCTGTATTTCAAATTGTGCTTAGTTCCTTTCTTTTGGGTCTACTTACATACTTAATCTTTTGGCATTTTTATGGACTGAACCTAAATGCCACTGACAATGGTCCATTTTATCTTTGTCATAAAGTATATACAATATTACCTAAAAATTATCTATGACACCTGCAAGCACACCAAGAAGCTGCTTGCTTGAACACCCTGGAAGTAAATGAAATGTCTTAATCACAAGCAATATAGGAAGATAGAGTCCCTTCCCAAGTTCTGCTCCCATATTTAATGGTCATTGGACTTCAACTCCCCACCAGTTCCAGCAAGCATGACGAATGGAGAGGAATGATTGCAATGAATGATTCAGCAACCTCTGGAGGGCCACAGGTTCCCCACTCCTGAAGTAAAGTGTGAATTGGTTCCAGGACTTGCTGTTACATTACCTATGATGGGGTTGCCAAGGGCTATGGCAGTGCAAAGTCACAAAATAAAATATTTAACCAGGGCTGTAAAGATGTTAGGACAGCACACAAGCAGATGGATAATTAAATACCCATTTCATTGAAGTCAGTTTTGTTTAAGAGTGCTTATATTTTGTTGAACCAGGCATGCAAACATATACAAGCAGGTTGTGAATATTAGCAAATCACTTTTTTCTTCTATATTCAAAGAAAGCTTCATCACCCAATCAGCATGGGGCAGATATTGTAGTTTGTGGGTAACCAGAACAACAGTCCTCTTGTCATTTCTTAGCATATTCAGGATTCCTTCTTGCATGAGGTGGTCACTCAAGTGAATATCCAGTGCAGAAAAAGGATCATCCTAACCAAGACAAAATATATACTTAGATATTTCCTCAGTAATGGTGCACTGTTACTTTTGCAGGAGAAGTAGCTTTTGTTTTGTCATATTTTTTATGACCTTCCAGGAAAGGTGGAACCTTCCATATGAATCCTACTATATGAATGAAAACAAAACTTTCTAGATGTGCATTAAAATAATGTAAAATAAATTCACAGGAATTCCTTTTTTTCAAAATTGTTCATAGCTTCTGAGCAAAAAGATGCTAAAACCTAGCCCCTCATCCATTCTGGAATACTTATAATGGTCTCATTTCCATGGTGTCATATCACTGTATCTTGAATATTAATTAATATAATATTAGCATTGTGCAGGTGGATGGCTATATGCGGGCAGTACAACAGAATTTTGCAATCCTCAGTTTAGAGAGTGGATTTAGTTATGGCCAACTTACCAGGAATACAACATTTGTGTGTTGGTAGAGAGCTCTTGCCACACTGATCCGCTGGCGTTGACCTCCAGAAAGATTAATGCCCTGGAATAAAAGACAAAACAATTCAGTTTGAAAGGCTATATAATCAGTTCTGAAGCATCATAGCTCAAATTTTGCTTTAATAAATCTTCATATGGGAGTGACTTTGAAAAAAGATAGACAGAAATACCAAATGCTGTTAAACAAGGCAGCCAGTACTGTATCTTCATTCTCATTCTTCAAAATACTTACCCTATTGTTAACAATTTACAAATTACTTTTAAAATACAAGTGTTTCATCAATGACTTTCACTACAGCTCCTGAAGTCAATATGAGGAACTATGTCTGCAACAGTTTAGGGAACTTTTAGGGAACTCTCCAGATGTTGCTGAACTCCCATAATTCTTGACCATTGACCATGCTGGCTGGGGTTGATAGGAGCTGGAGTCAAACACCATATCAGTCACAAGTGCCCCATCCCTAGTCTGTGATACAATGACTTGACTAAGACACTTAAAGCAGGGATGGGAATTCTATTGCACTCCATATATTGCAGGGGCACAACTCCCATTATCCCTGACAATTGGTCATGCTAGATGGAGGGTCACAGGTTTCTCATCCCATGAGATATGGATCTGTCTCATGTGTGAAAATCCAACACTTTATCCCATTGGATTTTGACAATGTTATCTCTGAAAACATACACTGCTACAAGATGAAACCTTGTTTGTGCAGCTCATTTGCAATGCTTTATATTCTTCCTGTCTTATTATCCTTGGTGTTTCTAAGACTTTTCCCCCCAAATCTTGTATGTTGCACCTTAGCTATTCTTAGTTTTCTTGTGTTCTGTGTCAGCTTCCCTTCTGCTTCTATCTCATCCTTCAACTAGATGCCTGGATCTCATGTAGGAGATCCAGCAAACCAATAACATCTGCTTTGTCTTTGATTATCAGAACACCCAATAAGTTTTACCCCAATTCAACTTTGTCCCCAACTGAAATCCTGTTACTTTCTCATATAAAAGCAGCAGCTACCATTTATTTCTATACATAGCCTGTCATATTAAGGAAAATCTTGCTAGCTCCTACTTAAATTGGAATGTTGAAAAATATCATTCACTAATACATGCTAGATTACTAAAATTCTTATTTTATTCAGTAAATATACACCTCAAATACAATATTTCAGTGAGATCAGGAGTGGTGACTGCAGATTGGAAACCCCCCCACTTTGTTAGATGAAACTTTAACATTGTTTCAGACATGTAAAGCTTTCAAACCAATAATATCAATTTGCTTTACAAATTGGTTTTGTCAAGTAACAGTTAGAATTTCAAGAACACATGACAAGTTTGGGTGCTTAATTAAAAAACAAACAAACATATTGCATATGGTCACTAACCCTTTCTCCAACTTGTGTTTGGTCTCCATGAGGAAGTATGTCAATATCAGGCTGAAGAGAGCAAGCATCAATTACTGCTTTGTACCTGTGGAAACAGAACTGGTAATTGTCAATTCACCTAGAGACTGCCTCACAAGCACATTTTACCTGCTTTTAAGAGCAAAATTAATCATCTGGAGAAGTCACACGCTGGAAAATGCATGTTTGCTAAGCACTAATTGTTCTAATGGGAACTCTGTTCCAGGCAAATAAATGCCATTTTAGCTAATAATGCACTATACTACAGGTAGTCCAAAGGTTAGAAATAAATGAAGCATTCCCTGGTTCTGTCGCTGGGATCAATCCTCTGAAGAGATGGAGGGCTTATCCACACATCCTCTTGTCCCGCTGCTTTTCCCCAGGGAAAATGGCTCTTTAGCATTCAATAGGAGCAAATGGCAATCGGGTTTTCTGTGGATTATTGTTTCTTCTGATGAAGAGCTAAAGAGTGGGCTTTTCCTGGGAAAGAAGTGGGGTAAGGGGAAAACTATGTGGACTTGTGCTTTCTAGGCAAGTGGAAGTGTGGCTACATCTACAACATACATCTACAATGCAACCCTTTCCTTCTGATTCATGTGGGTACAAATCATGCTGCCAGACACAACCTTCAACATATAGCAAGGGACTATGAGACTTTGAGTAGGAAGCTGAAGGGCCTTGGAGCACAGGTGTTTCTCTCATCACTCCTTCCTGTTGAACACTGTGGCCCAGAAGGAAAATACTGAAAATAAACCACTGGCTGCACAGGTGATGTAGTCAGGAAAAGTTTGGTTTCTTGGACAATGTTCTCTGCTTTCTTGAGGAAAGACTTCTGGCAAGAGATGGATTGCACCTCACATAATGCTGGCAAACTGTCTCTCCACACAATTGGACCATGCCATTTAGAAAGCAGCTTCACATATTGAATCACTTTTGTGACAATTCTGCCATGTGGAAATGTTTTTCAGTTGCTTCCTTGTGGATGATGTAATGCTTAGATTGGTGCTCAGACAAGAAGGTGTGTTATACCTGCAGTCAATACTGAACTTTTAAGGAAGGATCACTGCTCAATATGATTGAATGTTTTAAATCATTACAGTTCAAAGACCGTCACCTCTGTCATAACAATTCCACATTTGTACTATGTAACCAGGAGAGGAGTACTGTCAACAGCAATAAAAAACGTTCACTATAAGGGTGGTAAGATAGACTTACTATTATTTGCATTTACAAGGCATTTAAGTACACTAACCTTTGTGTATTAAAAGGGCTTTCAAAAGTGATATTTTCTTCTACAGTAGCATTTAGCAACCATGGTTTCTGGGAAGCATATGCCACTGATTCTCTTTTCCTGGAAACAAACAAACAAAAAAACCACAGAAGGACTTTGTTTTATTTTACTGAAACAGACATGGAAATTATTCTTCATTAATGTAGTCATCAATGTCTTATTTTAAACATCAATTAATATTCCATCTCTATCCTGAAAAAAGGTATATTGTCACAAGAGATGTGTCTCTGGTAAAATGTTATTGTGCTTAAGGTTACAGTCAGGTTCGACTGTAATAGCTTTAATTTCTGATTTTTGTATTACAAAAGGCATCTTTTTTTGGGGGTAGCAAAAGCTATTGTAAGTGGCTCTAGATTAATATTACATTGCCCTATAAATATGAAGGATACGCTAGTCAAAAAGGTTTAACCTAACTCATCCTTGAGTCCCCCAGCTGTTGTTGGACTACAACTCCCATCATCCCTAACTAGCAGGACCAGTGGTCAGGGAAAGGCTGACCCAGTTGAAAGGACTTTATTGCATAATTGTTTTTCAGAATTTTTTTCTGTTACAGAAAGAGCTCTGAGTTGTTTTCAGAGAGGAAGCTTGTATCCGTCACCATACTATGTAAGCCAGGTGCACTTGCATTCGGCAGTGCAGTGGGCAACAGATGTCGGGGAGTGAGGATGCTCCTGAAGAGGTCTAATAAGTAGCCAGATAATATTTTGGCTACTAAAGCAGCTGAAGACTCCTGTGGTGGCAGCTGGGCCTGGAAAAGAGGCCAAAGTTTTTTGAGCTGGGTTAGGGGTTGGGGTTTTACTCCCCCTGGGGAGCCTCACTGTGGTAGAAAAAAGGCTCTTACTAGTGCCTGGCATAGGAGCCAACCCCTAGGGGCTGAGATCCCTCCCCCCCATAAAATATTTGAGGGGGCCCCAAAGTTGATGGGCATTGCCATTTAAATAGTGTGTGCACACTGTGTCTTGTGACAGATTATAAGGGGTGGGGCTTTCCTGCTCCACCCCAAATAATTTATTCAAGATTTGCACCTCTGGTGCATGGAAAAAAGAGCTGAAATCTGAACAGCACTTTTAAAGGATCCTGTGCATGCCACAACAACTTTCTGGGGCCAGTAGCTTTGCCTAGAGGCCAGAGCCCATATTACTTGATAAGCCCAGGGGGGCATACATTTAGCTAGCCTGATGCCATGGCTTATACCACATGGTGTACTACATGGGCTGCTAGATGCCCTGGTGATTCAGCTAGGCAAGGACGACCTGGTTAGCAGCAAGGGCATAGATCTCATTTTCACAGCAACCACTGAACTTGAGGCCCTGCATGGGGGACATCCTAAAACACACTGGCAAGGTGGGCTTGGAGCTCATAGGTGCCTACCGTAACCAGAAGAAAGTGAACAAGGCAATGTTCTACACAGTGTCTCACCTGGGGGGCCAGGTAATTCAGCCCCCTAGCATTACGTTCAGTAATGTGGATCTTTGCAGGCCTGATGGCAGCTACCTACCACTGATGGGCAATGAGGGTTGGCTGCTGGACATCTACTGGGGCCTATGTGATTGGTTGCAGATATGAGAGGTATGGTGGTGAACAAGCAAGGTGGGGCTGACTCAGGTGGTGCAAAAGGCATTGGACTGTATCCTTAGTCTAGGAAAAGGGGGTGGGATGGAGCCCTACCCTCTTCCTAGCTCAAAGAAACAGCATACCCCTGTAAAAGGATCCAGGAGGAAGGATTCTATCTAAATGCCCCGGGGGGGGGGGGAGTAACAGGCTGTAGAACTCCCCAAATGGCACCCTGGAAGGATCACCACGACTGGATGTGGATCATAGGGTGATGCATAACCCAGGATTGACCCTGAAGGAATAATTAACTAGTACCTGGTTTCACTGTCAACAGCTGTTTCTCTTTCTGGGCTGCAGGAAAAGGTACAGTATATTGTAAAATGGGAGTATTAATGCACTTTTGCAAATACTTTAGATATGCCTGAGTTCTAAAATTAAGAGAAGTAAATAAATGACATATACCTTGACAAATAATATATAGATGCAGTCATGGGAAAAAGAAAGTACACCCTCTTCGAATTCTGTAGTTTTACATATCAGGACATAATAACAATAATCTGTTCCTAAGCAGGTCTTAAATTTAGGTAAATACAACCTCAGGGGAACAACACCACAAAACTTACTACAGCATGTCATGCATATATCGATACATTTTCATTTCCTATTCTGTTATGACTGTGATTTGACTCGCCCCACTCTACTGTATCAAACATAACACAGTCTTCTGGCAATCATTTGGATAATAGTTCACCTTGTTGTACAGGTACTTTTATGTTGGTTGATAAGAAAAAAACCTCTCTTCAGAAAGCAACTTGTAGGACCAAGATATTGTGATAGAGGGCTTGGTACTATATATATATATATATATATATATATATATATATATATATATATATGGTTTTCTTTCTTTTTCTTTTTCTTCTCTTCTTTCTTCCTCCTTGTTTTTTAATTGTATCTTTTGTTGAAAACTCGCAATAAATTTTAATATAGGTTACATTCTGAAGCTTCCATGCTATGCACACTGCTTTGGAATTAATCTCCATGTTAAGCATGTTTCACATGTGACTTTTTTGTATTTTAGTTTATAGGTGGGGGGAAATCTGATCCACATCAGTTTATGATACTATGTATGAAGATATTGAAACTGTCTGTTTTGCTGAGCAAAAGTATCTAGATATCATCTCATAACTAGGATAAGCTAGGGAAGAAAACTAATAGACATGATGAAAATCCCAGGAACTGGGAAGTCAGTAATTATCTATTTCCATCTCTGCAGGAGGTGGTACACGAACACTCTTCAGAAAAGCAGCATGAAGCAGATGAGCTATGTCAAAGCAAAGTTTACTTTTTGGTATCTTGCCTTTTAGGCTAGAAGACTAAGGAGTGTTATAATTAAAATAAATAAATAAGTAAAAACTATGCCAACACATGTTCATCTGCCTAGCAGATTCTTTTATTTCATTTGGTTCTATAAAATGGGATGTGTAAATAAGAAAAAAAAAAAAAGAAATGTCAAGAGAGTAAGAAAAATTAAGTAAAAGCTGAAATGTTTAATAAAGAATCATTTCAAGCAGTTAATACTGTAAAGCCAAACTGTACAGTACTTTGTTTCTTTGCAACACAATAGATTTAGGATATCATGATGAGCAAGAATCATGTGTATACCTGACATCTTCCCCTGTCTCGCTGTCAGGAATGCTGCATCATCAGGGGGGAAAAAAGAATATTGTTCATACAGGTACTTTTGAACCGTTTGCTTACAGGAGGATTAACGATGACATTCTACTTTGCATGTACGCTGCAAAATATTTTTCATAGAGTTGCTTCAAACTGAGGTCAACAGCATCTTACTTCAGGCACTTTACAATATTTTAGCAGTCAACCTGGAGCAATATGATCAACCAGTGCAAGACTCCAGTCATATGGCTTGATTTGCCACCATCTTTCTTGAATGTTTGGTGGTTATCAGAAGCTTATATTTAGTACTTTCAAAATGTTCATGTGAGCTGCAGTGGAATAATACTTGCATTAAAGACTTAAAGGTGTACATGAAGGAACCCTCATGAATCCTAAAAGTTTACGTTGTTGAGTTATGCCAATTCTTGGTGGGCTTGATAAATAGTGTGATTCAGCAAACTGAGAATGCAAATGCTATGCTGAAAGTAGGATTTGTCTAAAAGTTATTAGTGCAGGTTTCAACCAATGGACATCATATGGAGAAATTAGGTTGCTAATACCTACATTTAAGTATGCCAGAACAGCATACTGTATATTGAAATTATGATTCCATGGTGAAGAATGATGTAGGTACCATATTTTTTTAATAGGACCCTAACCACAAAGAACCCATACAGGTAAGTCATCCCCCTAATGCCCGCTGTTACAGAATTTATCTTTTGTAAATTTATTTCAACCAATGTTGAGAAGCATGCTTTTCCATTTTGTAACTCCTCCTCCTCAGAGAGTAATTGCTTAATAGCATTTAATAAATAGCACTTGCATATAAATATGATCAATAATTTAGTTTTACTCCATTAGCGAGAGCAATGGCGACTGGCTGCACTTCAACCAAAGGCAGGAGCAGAACTGGATGCCTGCCTCTCAAAAGGTTGCAGCTTGCCTTTTGACCACTAGGTCGAACAACCAACCCACTCTGCTGATTTTCACTGAAAATGGGGGGAAAGCTAACAAAAAGCCATTGGGATGTATAAATTACATAAATTACACTTGCTGATTTGGGAAGGACATACACAGGTATTAGAAAGACGCTACTATTGTATAACTTAATAATAGCCATAGCTACACAGTGGATAGGAACAAATTATAACAGCAGTATGTTTCATGCATACATGATTTAAGAGACACTGTCAAAATCTATATAATAAAATTTATATTTATTGCAAACTGTCATCAAAAGGAACACCATAAGGATATATGATTTGGTCACTGGAATGGAGATGTAGCTGAGAAAACAAACTGCAACGTGAACTGCTGGATTCCATAGTGTGTTTTCTTTCAAATTAACTGAATGTTTTAACAAAAGTACTGACAAAGAGAATATTAATTGTGAGGCAATTATTAGTAGACCCACACTGATTTCTTGATTTAAGATAGTGTTGATTCTGCATAGAACATACCAGCACAGGCAGAGTAAATATAATTTCAAGCCAACAGTTCTGCTTTCTTTATATGTAGTTTCTGTATACGGCAATTCCCCAGGCTCTTAAAGCAGTATTCTTGTGCTTTGGCTGAAATCAGTAGGGTTTACTTACAAATATATATGTTTAGAATTAGGGGCTGTTTGCAGTTGCATATATGTGGAAGATGTAAGTAAGGAAAACCGATGTTCTTAACCAGGCATAGGCAAACTCGGCCCTCTAGATGTTTTGGGATTACAACTCCCACCATCCCTAGCCAGCAGGACCAGTGGTCAGGGATGATGGGAGTTGTAGTCCCAAAACATCTGGAGAGCCAACTTTGCCTATGCCTGTTCTTAACCACAATATAAAATATACAGTATAAACATGGTTTGGTCTTCACCAAAACAGTGATTTAATTCACATGCACCAAGAACATAGCTTTGAAGTTAAGTCTGTATCCCTTGCATAAACTACACAGTAACTTAAAGTATGAATAAAATTACCTGTTCCAGATTACATTCCCAGATACCTTCTGCATCTCCCCAAGTATCCCTAGCAAGAGGGATGACTTACCACAGCCCACCTGTCCCACAATCATTGTTAATTGACCTGCAGTAACAAAAAATAATTTTATTTGAAGTTTAAATTTACTACAGATAGTGAGCCCTGATCCAGAAAAAGTTGCGCTCAACAAGTAAACATTCAATAATACATTCACACAGGAGCACTAGGTGATATTGCAAAGGTGGGTGTGGAAAGGCATACTCCCCACCCACACTGTGGAGTGCTGATACAGATATGAATGCACATTGGTATGCGATTCCTGCACAGGAGCATATTTCTGCATGCAGATCTCCATTGCTGGATCAGTTATTGAAAAAAAGAAAAAAGTTTGGTATAATAAAAAGAAGAGTGGCAGATGAAATTAATGGACTATGCAGAATTGGCGAAACTGACAGGAAAAACCCAGAACCAGCAGGACCAGGTTTTCCAGAAAGACTGGAGTAAATTTATGTTATACAGTGGTACCTCAGGTTACATACGCTTCAGATTACAGACTCCGCTAACCCAGAAATATTGCTTCAGGTTAAGAACTTTGCTTCAGGATGAGAACAGAAATTGTGCTCCGGTGACGCAGCAGCAGCAGGAGGCCCCATTAGCTAAAGTGGTGCTTCAGGTTAAGAACAGTTTCAGGTTAAGTACGGACCTCTGGAACGAATTAAGTACTTAACCCGAGGTACCACTGTATTTGAAAGACAACTGTAAACAATTAATATCGCTAGTAGGATTATAGGAAGCTTTGTAAGGATAAATTTATTACTTATTGTAGTTAAGTAAGGAAATATATAAGGATAAGATTTAACAGGAATAAGAAATACAGGAAAATGCAATGTATAGAGATTAAGTTTGAAAACCATTAATCGGGGAGGAAGGAAGTCACAGGCTCATGGAGCCAAATGTTTTATTTTTGGGAAAAGGTTGTGATGATGTTATGCAAAGAAAATTTATGTAAAAACCAATAAAAATTGTTGGGGAAAAAATATAATAAGTGGGTTAGTACCTTGAGGGATTCGAATATCAATGCTGGACAATGTTGGAGAGCCTTCAGGTGTCCAAGTGAAAAATCCATTTGTGACCTATGGCAACAATAGCAAAAAAGATAAATAATCCATGCTGTTGCAAAATCTCACTCAGACATTTTCTTTTAAAATTATTTGCGGTTTTCCAATAAGCAAGTTTGGCCACACCCCACTTTGATCTATCTAATTTCTTGCTTATCCTTTTTTGACCAATTTGAATTTCTATGCTTTCATCTGAGTATTATTTTAAGAGATTCTGTGGTATGTGGACTATATTAAAATGGGCATTCTTGTTTGGCTAGTTTGAGAATTGTTAAGTTATGTATTTTTATTATATTAAAAAATATTTTTTACCACTTTTCTGGGCAAATGTGCATCAAAGATGGCTAGCAATCAAAAATAGATGTAAAAAAAACAATAATTGGAAATTTTAAACCTTAAAACTACAACTTGGTAACACCCCACATACATTCAACTAGATCATCTCCAAGCTAATGATATCTTTTTGTTCTTTAGTGCACAAACCACAAACCAACTGGTCTGTTATAACTCCTTCCCCTGTGCCAGGGAAACATAGTGTCCTTGTTCATCAGACCCTAATCAAACTCCAAGCTTTCATAGGAGACAGAAAACTGAGATTACTTCAGTTGGGCATAGTAACTGCAACAGTTCCCAGCCAGGAGTCTCTCTGGTCTCACCATAACCAGATACTGGCGACTGCATGGAGATAGATGTATGTTACATCAGCACAGTATTGTTTGAGTATCAAATGCAAATTGCCTTACCATTTTTTTTAAAAAATGAAAAATCTTAATTTACCTCTTGTGGCTTATACAAAGCAAACATAAAATTCCACAATTCTTCCTATTGAGTTTTATAATTTCCTTCAGAGCTGGTTGCAGAGCTTGTTTACTCAGAAGTAAGTTTCAGTGGAACTCGCTCCCTAATAAATGTGTTGAGGATGAAAGCTCTAATGTGCACATGAAGATAATTCCCATTCTTCTGAGTAAACATGCACAGGTTTTAAAAAATGCTCAACTTAATCAGAACATATAGCTTAATTAAATATAAACCACACAACTAAAATAGTCACAAACTTATACACAATAACTCAATTTCAATTCGGGTAAAGCTTCCTGAGGAGAACTGCCCTCACAAGTTGCTGGGAGAAAGAATTCCTGAGCTACAGAAAAACCACTTGTGCCCTCGTCATTCATATATAATGCAAAGAAGGCATTGTTAAGGGAGCACAATAGGACATAGGAGTGAAGGTTAGTAAGTGAGGAATCATACAGCTGGAGGAGGAGATGCTTCTAAAAAAAGTGTCTGCCTGAAAACACTACCCTCTGGACTAGAAGCCTTTCACTAGCTTTTGATGTGTGAAGACAATGTCAGTAGAAATGCAGACTGCGTACTAGCTCAGAGACACTATTATCCACTCTCACACAATATTTTCCAGTGTCAAGCTCTAGCATCAAAAGCAGATTCTAGTTTGAGACCTGACACAAATTATGCTCAAAAACATCTTGAAAGCTGGGCTAAATTAGAACGTTTCAAGAAGATCCATTTCACAAACTGATAACCATGCTACCAAACTATTTTTATTTCTATCTTTAAGAGGCAGATAAATGCCACAATCTTTCAATGAGAACTTACTCCTCAGTAGTCATGTTTTGTTTGCTTTCTAAATGCAAATGTGGGTTTTCCAGGCTCTAGAACTCTGAGCTTATTAGTAACAACATTATTAGAAAGAGTGACCTTATTACCACCTTTACACAATAATCATCTGCTTCTGTGGTGCTAACAGGTCTTCTTAAAGGAGAGCTGTAATTGTTCCAGTCCTCTCTGGCAGGTCTCTTACGGTTAACAACTTTGAGGGGCTGTGCAAGATCAGGAAGACAGAAATACATGGTGAGTGGTGACAGGACTGTGAAAGAATCTTAAGCAAGAGTGGACAATGACTTGGTTTTCTGGTGCAATCATTAATCATGATTGGGGAGGGACTGAGGGGAAAAGATACACCGAACCCCTCCTAGAAATGGTTGGTAAGAAGCAGAGGAGACAGGTTTGTGTGTCAATCAGCATTGTGCAACTGTGCAGTGACTGCCTGGCTAGCCGACCCTACAGACAGCAACCATTGCCTACACTAGGCCCTGGAAGCCAATAACAAATTGTACCTTTTCATTGGACTGGTTGGGTCACCTTCAGCCTCTACTGCTACCTCTTAACCATTTCTGGTATGGATGGGCTTTCTCCTCCCCACTTGATTATGACAGCCAGTGTCCCCCCCCCCCACTCTACCCACTGCTGGCCTTAAACAAAAATAGTCATGGTATAGTCCTTAGCTAGCTTTAAGATTTTGCCAACGTAGCTATTAATTAATTACAAGGGAACTGACAAAGTTATTGGGGTGGTTCACAAGGATTAAAGAACGGGAGGCAAATATTTGGCCCGCAATCCAATATTAGCACTTACAACTGCCTGGTATTTGCTGTGGTTGTCCTTGCATCTTGGCTCTGCACATTTGTCATGTTCCTCCCCTATTTCTTCACTTGAGAGAAATTCACTTAACTTTTGAACGCTACGAAAAGAGGGGAAAGGTAGTAAATTGAGGAATACTTATACATTGTGCCAGTTACAGTAACAGTGTGCATTTCAGAATTCCCACGGTACAGTGGAACCTTGGTTCTCGAATGGCTTAGTTGACAAACAAATTGGCTCCCAAACGGTGAAAACGTGGAAGTAAGTGTTCCAGTTTTCGAACGCCAAATGTCCAATGTGGCTGTCAGCTATTGTTTCTGGGCCGCCTGTGCCAATGAGAAGCCGCACCTTGGTTTTCGAACGTTCCAGGACTCGAATGGACTTCCAGGATGGATTAAGTTCAAGAACCAAGGTTCCACTGTATAGATATTATTCTCAGAAGAAATCCTATAACTGTGCACAAAGCTGTAATAAAACTGTAAGTACAATTGGTGGGATCAAGGTCTAATGCCTTAAACTTTACATCATCATCATCATCATCTTGTGGTGATACTACTTTTGTCAAAGGTGTCCTCACATTAATTCCCCCCCTGCACCTGAAAGCATATAATTCCGTATAACTTATTGCATGAGCTGGGAATGCAAGAACATAGTGCCTATAGTGGCTGCATATGGGGTGGGGAAACTTACTATGGGGTGGCCTTGAAAATCAGGGTGTCTAATCAGAGTGCAAAAGCATTGGACGGATACCACAAGCTCTTAAACACTGCAGTAAGAAGCTTCATATGTAAGACAAAGGCACTCCAGAAACCCTACCTTACAAGAGCTTTGACTGTGGATCTAACAACACTGGAGAGCAGGAACAGTGGTGTGACAAGGATGTGAAAGAGGGAGAGTGAAGCAAAGGCCACCGAGGGAGAAAAGTCAGCATTTTCAAACAGGTGGGCATGGACCACAAATGTCTTTAAAAGAAAAGACAGCAAAACAAATTATTTCAGCCACCTCTTGTATTAAAGGTACAAATGCAGTGAAAATATTTAGCTGCACTTCAAAAGCCCTAATGATCAGGAGGAGGCATTATGCAACTAAGCAGTGTAAAATCTGTCAGGCAGACTTAATATACATTTAACTATCAGCTATAAATACAACAATTATATAAGAGCTTTCCCCATTATAAAAACAAAGAAGAAAAGAATGCATATTGAAGAAATAGCATTATGTCCATCTGAAAGTCCAGAGCAGCATAAAGTTACTCTCAAAGATGCATCTCGGAGCAGAACTTAGGCAAGAGTAATATTGAAGGATGTTTGTGGTTGCCCTAGTACAATCTATGCATGGTAACACAAGTCTTCAATTGTATTCCATTGCTGGAGTGGCTCCTGCATGCACCAAAATGGTGCCATCTAAAGGAAAGTGTCAGTGGGAGTGGCCTGAATCCATTTCTTAGGTTCTGTGTTGTAGAATAGAATCAGTTACAGGGGAGACAACAACACATCTTGTATTGAGATTACTTTCTAGAGCAGGCACCCCCAACCTGCAGCCCTCCAGATGTTTTGGCCTACAATTCCCATGATCCCCAGCTAACAAGTCCAGTGATCAGGGATGATGGGAATTGTAGTCCAAAACATCTGAAGGGCCGAAGGTTGGGGATGCCTGTTCTAGAGCTTTTGAAATAGCATGGTAACTGGTCTGTGTGTACTCAGCCATCATCACTCTGTCAGCTTACAGGATAAGAGGACAGGACATTCTAGACTTAAATATACAAGCACAGGAGGATGCTGAGAGAACAGTGATACATGCTGCAAAATGTATCATTAGAGTGATGTCCATATTTAAGATCTAAACAGGCCACTAAAGATCTAAACAGCAGTAAGATCTAAATATCAGTAAAGTGATATTACAGACATTAAAGAAAAAACTATTCATACATAAAATAAGATAAGGTACAACACCTTACACACACACACACACACACACACACACACACACACAGAGTTCCCAAATAACAAATTGCTCTCCATTGTGATTTAACTCTCCATGCTTTCTGTAATTCTGCATACACATAATTGAACATCATTTTGTGTCACATCTATTTCAGTTTTCAAATGCATCTGCTGAAGGACAAGATAGTTAATATTTTATTAGTGGAGTGTAATTTAAAATGAAGTAGAGAAGGAATAATGCATTTGTAACCGACAGAGGACTTTGTAGCTACACTCTTCTCTAAATGTTAAAATATATCTACATTTTTAACAGTAAAATACAGTACTTACTATAAGAACAGCTGCGATAGGTATTGCTGCATTCATGAAAACTGCAAGTAAAACAAATATATTTTACCGATTCTTTCAATATACTTAGGCTTCATACATCTCTACATGCATTTCACTTTTGTATCTATAACAGTTCTTTCTGGTTTTCTTTTTCTTTTTATCTGCCTAGGTTTAATCCTGTCCTGTTTGGATGATGCCCTTTTAGTTAGGATATACTGGAACTGTCATTACAGTATAGTATTTTGTGTTTGTGGGAGATCCCCCAGATCCCTGGGTGCCAGGTTCCTCCCTCCTTGGATGCTGGGGTTTAATCAGAGCTGAAAAGCTGAACTTGCAAGTAAACAAGGGGGAGGTTGCCGGGGCAATGTGGGTGTGATGCCACACAGAAAAAGTCGTCCCTTTACACCAGGCATCTCCAAAGTCTGTTTTGTGGGCCTAATCCGGTCTGCTGGTCAACCTAATCTGGGGGTAATTTTTTTAAAAAATCTCAGCAACTTCAATCCTAAAAAAGGCTCAACAACTTTGGTCAGCCCTCATGCATGTTCACTTCATCATCAAATCTGGCCCTCTTTGAAAAAAGTTTGGGCACCCCTGCTTTACACAGATGGGGTTTTTTTGGCAAGGTTTTATAGGAACAAGAAGGAGGAAATAAGGAGGAGGCTGGGGGCCATAACTTTGGATCCAAGCTCACTGAAGCTATGAGAGAAGCAATGAGGGACACTCCTGGGATGTAGTGCTCTGCACCCCCTCCACTGAAGGCTCCAGGTGTTTTTGCTGGCATCCATCTGCCTCAAGAGACAATGGAGTGCACCTCTGGGGGTGAAGTCAAACCACCCTGTTAACAGCACTGAAGTGACTGTAAATACGTGTAAACTAAACCAGACATTAGCTCCACAGTGCCTTGATTCCACAATGGAAACTCAACACAGGGTGAGTGCCTGGTACCTCCTGGAATTTTGCTGCCACTCAGCAGAGATTGGGGGGGGCATGTAATAATACAAATGAATAATGACAATAAAATAAAAAGTAGTCATTTCCTGGAAACATTGACCTGACCTTCTGTGTACCCAGAACACAATGGCTTTCCCACTGTGCCTAGTCAAATCACTGTAGCGTTTAGAGGTTATTATCCCCAGATGGCTGGGGAATGGAACAAATGCTTTTTTGCCTTGGGTTCACTTTTAAATTCGCCATTAACAATAATTATCTTCTGTAGTGTGACTAATTATTCCTTCATAAGTATTGCCCAAACTTCTTACTAATTTGAGCAAGCAGTAACCATGTCTAATTAATGTATCTCAACAACAGAATGCATTTCTGGCGTTTTGTCTGACTTCTTGGTTCATTCTGTAATCTTGTTGCAGCAGCTAAATATAAACAGGAAATGTTTCAAAACTGAGTGAAATTAGCTGCAGATTGTGCAAAATGAGAGATCATCATCAGCAATACAATCCTTCAGTCTTCAATAATAATATAAACATGAATCTCAATGTCCTTTGATTTGATTATGTATTATTTTACATCACCATCCATAAAATTGGAGTTTCCACATCACTGTTCACACTTACTTGGAAATAAGCCCACTGAACATCTGAATAGACATGCATATAGGACTAACTGCACATAAATCAGAGCATGGTGTCAGCCTCTCAGATCAGCTTGCCATCAGTTCAGAGCTGCCAAGCACTCATATTGAAAGCTGGCATCACACGCCCATGTGGATGGTAGGGGTGGGGGCTCTGAATAATTGCTTAATTTGTACTGTCATTTAAACATTATTTATTGTGTATGGTTTGGGGCAATCTATATGGTAAGAGTAAACTTTATGTGCCCTCGTGTGAACTGGTCCAAATTCTTGTTGGGTGTGTGTGTGTATTTACATGGTAGCATGGTTCCAAAGGAAGCTCTTCCTGGCATGCATATACTTTTCAGGACAGGCATATGTGGGCAGACATTTAAATATTGCATCAGGAAAGAGAGTTTCAGCCACCAGCCGCAGGCATTTAAATTGGCCCTCAGAGGCTTGCCAGGAAATGCAAATCAATTACTGTACTATTAAATGTTTGTCTCCTCGTTTTCACATTATTTCTTTAAGAACTTGAGATTCTTTCAGACTTGGTTTCACTGGCAAATGCAAAACACAAATGCAAAACCATTATAAATTATGGATTGTAAATAAAACACAATTTATGTCTATCATTCTATTTATACCTTTTTAAGTCAGGGAAAACAACTATTTCTGTTTCCCTTACAGTATCAAATTCTGAACTGATATAAAACCAGTTTTTCCTTCAGTGACAGTCCTGATTTAAATAAGCAAGTGACACTGACTAGTGACTCAGCTATACAGCTGCAACTAAAAATATATTAAAAAATAAAAAATTGTCCAGTAGCACCTTAGAGACCAACTAAGTTTGTTCTTGGTATGAGCTTTTGTGTGCATGCACACTTCTTCAGATACCGACTAAACTAAAGCTGCAACTAAAAATTTTTGTGTGTGTTTTAAGTGCAATATACAATGAGACACTGGATGGCAATGGTGAGCCTTATGGAAAATTCAATGTGTTTTTAAAAACACTTTTAAAAAAGCACTCTCATAATGATTTTTATATGCGTGTAGATTCTACCTAAGTGAGATGCTGCTGGACTAAGGCTGAAGGAAATGTGCTTATAGCTCAAAAATAATGAGGCCAGTGACTTCATGCTCAAACCTGCCATATGAGTACAGCGGTACCTTGGTTCTCGAACTTAATCTGTTCAATTCCTGAAACCATTTGAATACCAAGGCGCGTTTTCCGATTGGCTGCAGGAGCTTCCTGCACTCAAGCAGAAACTGTGGAAACCGCATCAGATGTTCAACTTCTGAAAAACGCTTGCGAACCAGAACATTTACTTCTGGGTTTGTGGTGTTCGGAAGCCGATTTGTTTGACAACTAAGCCGTTCGGAAACCAAGGTACCAGTGTATAAATTTTGTTCATAACTTAAGGCTGTGATCAGGCCCCAAACACGGCGAGAACCATATGCACATACAGTTTGCATGAGGGTGGCCTCTGTTCCTACCTTAAAAGGAAGATGCATATGTCAAAGGGCATGGCCTACTGCTGTGCTTCTGTTCACAGCCAAACATATTCACTGGGGGCTCATCCAGACCTCCTTTTGCACCAGACTTTCTAGGCACATGTCTGACCTTTAAAATTCTGTGTCCAAGCAGTTTTTTGTTTTGTCCTGGCAGTTTCCCTGGACAACTGGCACTTTACCACTGAATTGGAGCCGATGGCAATCCATAGAAAACCGGATTGCCCTTTGCTCTGATTCAGCATTAAAACCTGGGTTTTCCTGGGGAAAGGATAGGACAACAAAATCAAGCCAAACCCTGGAGCTTTAAAGCCTGGGCATGTGCCTAGAAATACAGCAAAAAAGGAAGTCTGGATGAGTCCTGGCACTGAGTGAATCAACTGAAAAGGACTTTAATCGTCAAGGCTATAGTGAGCAGCTCTGTACTATTTGTGGCAATCATTTCTGTCTCAGATACACCCATCTTATAAGGCACAGAGGCTGGATCTAGACACATCCAAAAAGAGGTTTCAGGAAAATGCGTTGAAAACCTCATAATGGGAAATCACGTTGGCGAAAGATGGAAGTCTACAGCGCCATCTGGTGTCACAGTGTTATAACGCATTTAAAATGCCCTCTTTTTTTAAAACTAATGTAGCTGAGTCCAGACACATAATTGTGACATTTAAAGAATGAGGTAGAAATAATATAATATGTGAAATCTTTAATTTTTCATGATGGTCCCATGTTATATCTTACAAACATTTCTATACTGCCTTCATTAAAAACAATCCCATAAAATAACAACCCCATTAGTATTTTGAATCAAGATTTAGTGTCATAAATTTATGACACTTGTACTAATTCAATATATTGAAACTTTAAAGCATTGCTTTTCAAAAAGCAGAGACATGTAAGGGCAGTACATTCCAGGAACCTTTAACAACTATCCTTTTCTCATGGGAGTCAGCTACATGGATTTTTTTCCTTCTGACCTCAACTGCTCAGAAAGTATTAACTATACTGCAAAGGGTATAGGAAAGTCAGAGGCTAGGGTACATATATGGTGCTTGGACATGGACCTTTAATTCAGGGACTGTGCCTGGAGAGAGTGGAGGAAGGGTAAGTATAGATAAACCTAAACTCTAGTTCAAACTCTAGTTCCTGCATTCAGTTGTCAGGAGGTTCAATACTTAAATGGATTGCATAAACCTTTTCCAAACACAATAAAATGTATTTGTGCTACTGGCAGTTCTGCTGGTATATTAGAACTGGAAATAGACTCTAAAACCTGCAGCACCTTTAAATGGCAAGTACACTCATAGTTATGCTGAGACAAAAACTGATCCTGGGACAAAGTCAAGCAATATACTTACTTGATATGGAGGTATAGAGAGCAAAAGCTCTGAGGCTAGTCATTTCTTTTTGCCGGGTTTCCTCCACACTGCTGTGAAATATGTGTTCCCAGGCGTAGAGCTTAAGGAGTTTTATGCCTCGAAGCATTTCATTTGTTTTCTTAAGCCTCTCATTGGAATATTCCTGAACCATTGACACAAACATTAATTTAAGGAGGATTATTGCAACACCGCAGCATACTGTGTTATCTAAGGATACCCGCTATGCTAGTACAAATTGACTACAGATGTTCTTGCATGCTATACACAATATAGAACTTGCGTGTTCTGCTTTCCAGTAAAACCCATTACTTGCTCTTCAGTTTCACTTTGATATCTCTGGGTGGGAGGTTATCCTTGCACATGGAAGTATTTATGTGTATTTAATTTCAAAGATTTTTATACTGCCTTTCAGCATAAGCTTACAAGATGACTGGAATAATGTTGACGGAACTTAACTTGAAGCAGAATTTTCTGTGTTGATATTGTGCAAAGCATATTGGGATATGTACCCATAACCTAAAGGACACGCCTGAAAAGACTTACCAATGTGCTTCTTTGAGCTTGTGAAAGTTTTGTGGCTACAAAGTACTGAACAGGTGCAAGCACTATGATCACTGCAGCTCCAATTAGGGCACTGATTCCAAGCAGGTAGTAGAGTAGAATGACTCCTACAATAATCTGGGATAACAAAAAGAAAGAAGGGACACTATATTTCCCAACCAATACAAAGTAAAGAATGACCAGAAGTTGGATGCTATTAGGTAATCTGTATTAAGGGATAGAATTTTAGCAAAATTTTAGCAATCCATTAGTCCCAAATCTGACTCAAAAGTCTCATAATCCAAATCTTCATTGAGACATTACTACAAACAGAACTTTTGGGGGTGAGCTACTGTTAAAAATCAAAATGATTCACTCAATAAAGTCTGAAATCATTTAACTGGTTTTAATAAGGATTCTATAATAACTAATATTCACAAAGAAACCTTTTTACCACAATTGTATTATCCTGTGAATGAAGCAATGAAGCAAGTTTTATTATCTTGAGCATTTAATGAGAACAGATGATAATTGAAGGAAGTGAGTAACCATCTTGGGCTTTTAAATGAAAAGTAAGCTATTTAATTTAAAAAAAGACATTATTCTGTTTTACTATGTTTAAAAATGCATATTTTGCAAAGAACTCTAAGAATTCTACACAGAATTGTTTTCCTCACAATAAATGTCAAACAAAGAAGGGGAGAAACCTGACACCTCTAAGCCAATCAAAAGTGCACTGGAAATTGTCTCCTGGGTCTATAAACATGTGCCTTCAGGGAACCCTGAAAGCTAACTGAACATATAAGCACTGCAACATCAGGGAAGGCAGAAAAGATAGTCCTGAATGATTCTGCTGTCATGGTTTCTATTATACAATTAGCTGCACTTATTATATTGGTCACTTGGAAATGGTAGGCTGTAGTAGGAAAGTTTCTACTCTGCCCCAGGACAGGAGAGTAAATTGCTCATGCTAGCAGTAGTTAGAATTTGAGGGAGCAAATTGGAAATGGGCATGTGTCTTGTCTGACAGTGCTTACTCTTAATTGAGTCACTGGATATATTTTACCTCTTTCAGACTAAAAGGGCAATCCAGACCCCAACTACTGAGTGGTGATGCTTTTCAGAACACTGTGGCCACTGCCATATCTGCAGTCGTGCCATCAATGGTGGTTGGGCAAGAAGAGCAGAGGTAGGACAATCCGTGAGCCATGACTGGACCCAATGCTCTCATGTGATGGCAGCCAAACTGGTTCAGGAGCCAATGGCTCCAAGTCGGGCTCAACTCCTTCCCCATTCTTCCTTTAGAAGGCCCCATTTGGTGGCTTTCTGCTGGCTGCTGCTGGAGGTGATCCTGCTGGTGGCACTTTCACCCACCCTTTTGGTGGAAGGCCACCTTAGCCAGGCAGAGGCAATTCTGCTTCAGCTCAGTACAAGGGCTTATTACTATTACTGTTACTATTACTATTATTATTACTCTGCAACTTGATGACAAGGAGCCACAGCTTTGTTTTTTCCTCAGGTTATTTTCAATAACAACTATTTTTTTAAATAGACGTGCATTTTCCCAGCAACAATATTTTGAATATCATGTGTCTCTATATCCCAGTCTCTATATCCCACACAAGTACTCTGTTGTGCCACATATTGATTCCCTGTAGTAACTCTCACACACCAAATTTATCTCCATTTACATGGACTAAAGTTATATGGACTTTAATTTACTTACCTGCACTGGCATAGCCCAAAGGTTAGGGCACAGGAAGAAAAACCACATCAGCTGGTTTGTATCTATAGCAACCAGGTTACAGATCTGACCTGAAGTCATTTCCCCCATGGACATGTTGGAAGTTGACAGCCGCATAATCTTATTGTAAATTTTAGTCTAGAATGAGAAATTTTTTATTTAAGAATTTATAAACCATTTCCCACTTAAATGTTTTTGAGCTGGTGTACACATGTTTCATGTGATAGAATAAGTGGCTTTTAAGCTTACAAATAAAGAATGATTGCTTATTTGAAATATAGGGTGTTAATGGTGTTTTATTTTTACAGTATAGGAACACAAGCTATGTTTATTAAGTCAGATGTCATCTATCAATCACAGAGGACCCATAAGACAGCTGAAGGCTTCTGTAGGAGAAAGCAAGGATATGAAAGATTGTCACATAACCAGGAGACTATAGAACAAAGCGAAATAAGACGAACATCCTGGCATGTCAGGAAAATCCTGGCATACCTGGAGATAAGGTGATTTTATGGGATATAGATTATATGACATTTAAATTGAAGCATGCTTCTATTTTATGCACGAATCAGATACTGTCCATAAGGTTTATTCTTTTTCAAAAAAATGTATTTTTTTTTTACCCAAGTTTGTTTAAGCTTTTCTTTCTTTCTTTTTCTTTTGATTGGTTGAGTTTGTTAGAAACATGCTCCTTTACTCAAAAGTTAAGAAGTGATTGTATAGCTCATTAGGTAATAGTTTCTGGATTATCTGAAATACCTGTATTGCTCCTCTTAGGTTAATTCCTGTTTCAATGGCTACATAGTACGATGCTTGGAGAAAAGTTCTCTGCAACAGAAGGGCAAAGAAAAGGAGGACTGCCAATACATAAGCATTGGCCAGGAATTCTTGGGATGAAATGAAGTAAACACCAAGTATTTCGGTCTGTTGGGGGGGGGGAGAGAAGAAAGCAATTCAGAATTAATTTTGCTTTTGTATAGTTCTTTATATAAATAGAGTTCTCAAACATTTGAAACTGCAACAATGACTTGAATAAAATATTTCAGCGATTCAGACAATCTTTTTATTGAAATGAGAGACAATGCTAGGAAGAACCAAAGAGAAAGTCAAGACTGAAGACCAAATGGCAGGTCAGTGTTGGAGAACGCCAAAGCTCAGAAAGATAATGATGTTCAGAAGCCCTTGTATTCTTTCCTGTCCAGGAGGATTCAATGGTCAGCCCGGGTGGGTGGAGTCCAGGACCTAGGTGGTTCCCCAGATGCTCTTGGACTACAACCCCCACCATTCTTGACCACTGGCCATGGTTGCTGGTGTGTATAGGAGCTATAGCTATAGGAGTTGCAACCTCCAGTCTGGTAGCTCACCATATATGGGACCCACACAAGATCAGAATCTCTGGAAGCTGCTGACATGAGTCTCCAGCCAAGGACTGTCCATACTGGGTTGCCACCTCAATAAAGTCAAAATATGAGTGTTGAGAAGGTGACTATCTGATCATAGCAATGAGATCTTCTTGGCATTCCTAGTCCTTGAACCATCTGTCTCCAGGGCAGTACAGAGAATAAAATTTAAAGTATATCTCCCTCCCTACATGTATCCAGCAAGGCATCATGTGATAAATAGTCATTATAGAACACAGTACTGTAAATACTCAGTGGAGCTCTAAAGTCTCCCTTGGCCTATCCAGAACTATGCAATTTTGCAACCTGAACACAGGCTTAGCCAGACAACCTATCAAAGATATGTATCTACTTGCTTTTCTTAACAAGATATGTGGTATCTTTCAGAAGCATAAAACATAAGCAAGAAATTTGGAGGCAAGAAATTTAGATATTCTCAAAATTAAGCCTGTCATGGCAGTTAAAAATGTAGCAGCTCTTTTGAACATTTGATCTTCATAGATGATTATATATAACATGATCACTTGCTGGTTCCTCAGCAGTAGAAAAGCAATGTTAAACACAATGAGAGAATGGCAGTGACAGAAGCTTAGCATTTGAGATTTACTTGTCAAGACTTAAGTAGCTGCCCTTGAGAGATGCTAAGGAGACTGCATGTGATGTGGTATTAGTTTTGTGTTACAATACTCTTATCAAGAATAACCTTGAGAAGTAGATATTCAAGAAGACCAAGTTCTCCAAGATGACTTTGTTTCACTGGCTATTGGAAAATGAGAGAATTCTTTGGAATGTATATACTCAGTCCTGTGCCTGCATTAGAAAGAGGTTTCCACAGTACTCAGCAGTGCTCTGTTTCCCTTCCTCCTCCCTCAGCATCCACCTTGGGAACCTTCAATATCTTACTCCAGAGAGGAAGAAAGCAAGAGCTAGATAGCAATAAGGGAACCAAACAATCCCCACAATGACCCAACATCCTTCATGAAGCCGTGTACTTGCACCAAGAGAACAAAGGGGTACACAGCTCTATTGAGCCCCATGGAAATCTTGTCATGTGTAATTCTTGTGCCCATAGGGGGCTGCACCTTGCTAATAGAATCTGACCAGATAAACTGATGATCCAAATTTCACATAATCTCATCAAATTGGGGAAAGATATGTTCAAAACCAAGGTGTTTCATGTTGGGGAATAAAGGACACATAATCCTTTATGATTGGTGGGAAATTATTCAAGATGGTGAAATAGACAATTCTGTTAGATCAGATCATAATTCCTTTACAATTTAAATTTAACCATCAAATGAATTTGATTAACCGTCTGAGAAGCTGTTAACCCTGGTTTAAATGGTAATGTTATTTACTATATCACTTTTCCTCCCTAAGGTAAAAGTATGAAAGTTTGTATCCTTTCAAATATATGTTGTTTTGATTTGGCTAGCAATCAGCTTCTTTGTATCTCAAAATCTATTCATGAACTACTGACAAATTAAAAGTGATCTATAGATATATGAATGGTATATGCTTTTATTTTAAAATATATTTTGCTTAAATATTTACCTACGCCGGGAAGAGGTAAGATCCACCACAAATGATGTGATTGAGATTAATACATGTTTAAAAGGCATATGAGAGGAATGTGACATACCATCCTCAATATGCAGAAGGTTAGACAAATTACACTGAATGCTGATATCAGAGAATATTTTTCTAGGTGGACATTTATAATAATGTGAAAAATGCATAATATATCAGCTATAATAAAATTTCATTTAGTCCAACTCCCTGTGAACACCCCTGACAGGAAGTCATCCAAGCCTTTGCTTGAAAACTTCTAATGAGTCTGCTACCTTCTAAAGTAGCCTGTTTCGTTGTTAAACTGCACATACTAGCATGGAGTTTTTTCTAATACAGTGGTACCTAGGGTTAAGAACTTAATTTGTTCTGGAGGTCCATTCTTAACCTGAAACTGTTCTTAACCTGAGGTACCACTTTAGCTAATGGGGCCTCCCGCTGCTGCTGTCGCGCCGCCACTGCGCGATTTCTGTTCTCATCCTGAAACAAAGTTCTTAACCCGAGGTACTATTTCTGGGTTAGCGGAGTCTGTAACCTGAAGCAAGTAGAGTGCAAGTCCCACCTGCACCAAAAAGAACTCTTCCCAGGTAGGTTACCCAACTGTATCTTCTGATCAATTGCATGGAAGAAGGGACAGTTCTATCACCTGTGGCTGGATATTGAGATCAAGGGTTTTAGTCCCACACACACACTGGAAGCATTAACTAACTTATCAGTTAGTTTGTGTTATAATGTTTGTGTTATCTCTACAATAGCTTTGTGAATGACTTTTGTTAATAATGTAATTTTAATAATGTAATTTTCATTGTCTGCACCTTTTTCATTTTATTTTCCTCTGACCTCAGTGTTTAGAATCCCAACCCCTGCAACTATGTGCATATACATCGGCAACTTAGGAAAATACTTTATGCATCTGATGGAGATGAAAGCTTTTGTGGCAGCAGATAGAACTTAGTCTTTAAGGTGCCACAAGGCTCACTGTTGTTTTTGCTGCAACACACAATCCTTCAGGTAATACATTTATTTTTCATTATTCAGTAATGAATAATTTCTGGGTCAATATGCTGAACTTCAGTTCTTGATGCTTCCCAGCTACAGCATAGAAAAGGTAACCCCTTGAAATGTCTCCAGTAAGTACACTAACATACTGAAGAAAGGATGAAAACAGCAGCATATTGATTGATTTAGAAACATAAAATTAGTTCTTCATCCTCAGCATAGGATATCCATTTCCATTTCATTATGGCAGCAGATGCAAACCCATTAACAACAGCAGAAGTCTTTCAGTCAAACTGGCTTGTTTATGAGTCTTTAAAAAGAGACTGTGATGCATTAACTAGCAATAAAAACACACCATGTTGTTATTACTAATTCATAACCACACGCTTGCTTTGGATCTGTATTCTGCAGAAGAACTGCTTCCTCCCCCAATCCCTGCAGGGTACCCCAGAAAATCACAGTCTTCATTTTTTTTTTTAATTGAATATAATGTCCTGAGATAATAGCATCCCCATGTGTGCTTTTATTTTATCTCTCTAAAGATTCTGATGGAAATTCTTTGTCACAGTGAAATCTGCTTTTTTGTTACTGCTACTTAAAAAGATACTGTTTAGAGCAACTTCCTTTCCATTCTTCAGCCTCTTCAGTATAGAATTTGAAGTGCTAATCCATAGAAACCTTCCTTGCTTAAATACATCCCTGCTCAAGTTAGTCATGTGTTTAACATTTGGGCCCACAAAAGCATGGGGTTAACACGGTACTGTTTTGTTTATGGCTACCCTTTTTTACCCTGATATAGAAGTTAAATAATAGCAATACAAAAATAGTACCTTGGGGCGGAAGGTGTTGTTGCTGCCTTTTCCAACATGGTGAACAATTCCAGAGATACACAGTGGACCAGCAAATCCAAGCAGATCTGCCAGAATACGGAAAGTGCTGCTTAGGACCAGCTGTCTTCCGAAGGCATTACAAAGGGCACGCCAGATAGACTTGGATCCTTGTGGATTTGGAGTGTTTTTATTCTGTCATATATATAATTTAAAGAAAAATTGCTTTTAATGGGAATAATGTAATATTCCAAAGTGATAAGTGACATTCACAAATCATTTTCATAAGCCTCTCATTTGACTTATCAATTTATCATTAATTTTTAAAGTACCTAAAATTTACTTAGCACCGCACACGGGTCTACCACCTAAAAGGCATGGCACAAAAGGAAAAGTGGGGGGAATAAAAAAACAAGCAAATATGCACCGATGGAATAATTGTGCTGTTACAAACAGTGCATTTAAAGCTGAGCCAAAGAAACAAATACTAGTAAAAATTTTCTTACATAAAAGGATTTTAGACACCAAACAGTTTGAGAACATCGTGGGCCAAATTTCCAATCCTTATTCATTTTGATAGGTACTGAAGAGAAGTGAGACAGTTTTCTACCGGATTGTAGGCATGAGCATTCCATGGCATGCATGGAGCTCTTCTGCCTGCATTCATCATGTTTAAAGCCAGAAACACAGTTGTGGGTAATCCTTTTCTATTTATACCTTTGGAGATTCAAAGGCCTCATTCAGGCGCATGTAATTTGTCAAAGCTCTCATGGCAATAGGCAGCTTTCCTATGGCTTTCAAGTCTATTGGTTTCTTGTGAGCTGTTTTAATGAATGCATTCATCCACCAGTATGTTCCTTTGGACAACAAATTCACAAAAGGTTGCAAGAATCTGACTCCAAGATCCTGAAGGTCCTCAGGAGGCTTAACTTCCTTGGGCGTTTTGAAGAAAACGTATCTCTAAACAAAGGCAAAAAGAATCTTAGGCAAGTTAATGGAGAGGGGGGGCAGGAATAATAGGATACTGTAGTATGTTTTGTCCTCTGTCCAGGAGGACCAGGCTGCCATGGATTTTAAGGCATGTATTTTCAATTGATTTCTCACCTTTCAGTATCTCAGTGCTTGACAAGCAGTACAGTATAGATTTGGCAGGACACTGCTGTGTTTCTGGACAGAACATATTTCTTAATATTTTATCCAGGGAGTCAGAATTAAAGGCCATCATGGACAGGATCCAGCAACATTAAACACATTCAAATTGCAATTATATCTTAGTAGTGCTGCATACTATAACTTGGTGCTCCTGATGCTCAAGGAGATGGCAGAGGAAGGGGAAAGGAACAATGTCAAATTACTTGAGCTTAATTATAACTAGCATGTTGGCTTACAAAGCTGTATATGGCCAAATTTATTTTCACCAGGAGGCATGCAAAAGAACATGACTGAATTGGAACTGACTGGATGTCATTCTAATATTCCACCTCCTCCTAAGAAAATGTATATGGAAACCTATATTCATGGGACTTCAGAAATACTAGTACGTTCAAGATGCAGTTACTAATGGACAACATTAACAACTTTGCTTTTAACCATCTAAATTATCAGGAAATGCAACTTACCCTTACCCTGATGACATTAATTTCTACAAGAAGCAACATTCCATAAAGAACTACTAAGAATCCTGTGAGGCAGAATCGAAGCTGGAGAGGTCCAATATTATTATCACAAAACTTTACAAATTTGATGGTTTTGGTTATAAAAGCTAAAGTCCAATAGACTAGCAAGGCTGTTGAAAGAAGAATAAAGCACTGATCAGAACAGCACTTCAAAGTTAAAGAAGGCAAATAAAATTACAAGATTGTTCAAGGGATCTGTCCTGAATATGTAAGTGCTTAGCAAATTAGATTTCTATAATGTTGGAAATTCTGAAGTTTTGACTAAGCTTACAACCACAAAGATAAGTAATCAATATAAGCATTCTCAGGCATGGCTACAGTAACTGTCTCTGGCATTGATTTGTACCTGCTTTGTACAGTTTCAGTTGAGTATGCCGAATGTACTTGGTGAAACTTGGTGAAATATATATATATATGTGTGTGTGTGTGTTTGAGAGAAAGAAATTCTGACTACCTCCTACACAAGCTTCCCTGTAAATATTCCCTTGTAAATATTCTCATTCTCTTTCCAAGCCCCATTAACAAGAACATGTTTTTAAATAGCTCCCGGTGACTTCTGCCTCACACAGCCAAGCCTTCATGTGCTGTACTGTAATTTGCCCTGTAGAGCAGGGAATTTTTGCAATGGCACCAGAACCTGAAAAGAAAAGGTTTAGTGGGTGTATTGAAAGGCTTGCCACATGGAGGCAATCACCTTGGGGAGGAATGACAATTAGAATTGCGAGTTCAGGTTCTTCATTTGAGTGTGGGGCAGGACACAGCCAGGCAAAAAACCCTACACGAAGCAGTGCTAGTGGGGAACAGTGGACTGTGGAGAGAAATTGCGATCTGGGGAGAGTTATAGGAGCCAGAGAGAAAGACCTGGAGGGCTTTATTTTGAGGCAGAGCTGAAGTTCTTCACCATATTCTTAGATATCAATGCTATAGAAGAACAAAGTGATCCATCTTTTATTTAGGTATTTTAACTTCAACTTTCCAAACAAAGCACAGCTTCTTGTTCAGCAGATAAGACTAAGTATTGAGTTGTTCAAATAGTTAAATAAATACACATAGGAAGTGCTGGTTTTCTGACATTCAGTCTCATGAGATTAGACAGGAAAAAATGGTCATTTTCCATTTTCTCAGAGAAACATATGGGCCAAACAACTGTGGAACTATTCACATATGACACAAATTTCCTGTCAAGGGATGAGATGACTCCCATAACTATTCCCAAGGAAGCTACTTGCATCAACAGTACAAACAAAGACACTATTTGCCAACAATTCCAGGAACATCAATTCTGTGGAGCTATTTTTTAAAAATTAAATTTATGATTGTCAAGAAAAATATCAAAGCAGTATGTGTATGGTGATAACAGCCATGTGGCCTTAAAGCATTGGTGTTTACAACAAATAGATATTATGGAATATGAGGTGGGACATAATTCTTAATCATGGGCACAGCCAAAGGGGAGGGGGCAGGGAGGGACAGTTGCCCCCTCCCAAATCAAGTAAATCAATGAAAATACTAACTGAGGTTCTGCCCCCCTAACATAAATCCTGGCTATGTCCATGTTCTTATTAAATAATAAATGGGGGGGGGGAGTTCATTTCATCAAAAATACTAATACTTGAAATCAGCTTTGTTAGTGGGAAACAGAGGAGAACAGTACTAGTAAGCTTTAGTTAGACAATAAAATTTCAGTTGGGGGGGGCACTGAAGTGAACCTCCAGCAAGACCTAACAGACCTTTTCCTCATAACATATTCACAATTTCATATTTTTCTGTATTGTGGGTACATACCTATTAATAACTTTGGAAAATTTGATGTTTCAATGTTGTGATAGTAAACAATTGATGTGATGGCTGCTAAGAACGCCATTCCAGGTGGCATGTACAGGTGCAAATGACGAGATTCTGAATCCCTAAGTATAACAAAACACATTAATCAGAAGTACCCTGATGGAGAGTACCATGTTTGCTCTGAAGCCTACATGAAGACCCAAAGTTATTTGAACAGAGATTATGATAACACACAAAGGAATGCATGTACGGTTCAGTCACTCCAGGTGGTGTGTGTGTGAGTACGTGTGCAAATACACACATAAAGAGTTCCCACTCCTAAGATACAAGGCTGAAGCCCAGTGAGTGGTCCCCCCCCCAAAAAAAATAGATGCAACAATGTTAGCTTTCCCATCTTTCTTTTTCAATCAACATGGAATTTATTATGTTCATGATTCATATGAGGACAGAGAAGAAAGGAAAATTTCCACGCATCACTTTAATTTTCAGTTAGGGTTCAGCCACACTTGCCCTTGTCCTGCCACTTTCCCCTGGGAAACCTGATCTTTACTGCTTCATCAGAGCAAACATCAATCCGGTTTCCTCTGGATTGACGTTTGCTCTTTTTTCTTTTTTTGCTAAAGAGTGGGTTCTTTTGCGGAAAAAATTAGCGGGAAGGGCAAAACCTCTCAGACATGTGTCTAGAAAGCACGGGATAGCAAAAAAACACTTGGACCCATGCTGGATGAGCCCCAAACTGAATGGCAGCATAATCCTATACATGTCTCCTCAGAAGTAAGTCCCATCGAGGGAATGGGTATATCATTGCAGTCTTAATGAACTAATTACTGACCAAAAAGTAAATCAGTGCACATGAAGATTTTATTCCCGTTCATAGTAAATTTGTTTAAATGAGAATATGATTGCACTTAGAACAGAAATAGTTTTATAGCTTTATTTGAAATATGTTATACAACAACACTGGTTTAAGGGGCTTCCCACCTCTTTCTCTCCCTCCCCTTGACACACATAAGCAAACATAAACAAACACAATCATAAAATAATTCAGATGTGTCATAAGCACTCTGTGCAGAAAGCTCCATTTTCAGTCTGATTACCCAGCTGGGCAGAAACAAGCTGGGTACAACAAGATACAATTGTCATAATTAAACAAGATACAATTGCCATAAAGTCAGATTGTGTAGACCTTTGATTACGTAGCAACTGCCTTGCTAGATCAGATCAAGGGTCTGTGTAGTCCAGTATTAATTAATAAAAATTTTAAATGGTGGACCAAATGCATTTGGGGATTCTCATAAATACCACGAGCTTTTCTGATGACAGTACTCCCCAGCTTTCCACAATGTGAAAGGGTGTGTGTGTATCTGACAAAGGTATGAGTCCAGGTACAGTGAGGAAGCAAGCTTTTCACTAGAACTGAATAGAAAGGCTATAAAATTCTATGCAGTGGGTTCATAGTGCGTAAAAGAATAGACAAGTTTTAAAGGCAGAAGCACTATCTTTCATTTAAGCAGATATATGTAGATGAGAAAGGTTTTCCCAAGGATTTGCATGGATTTCTTCAACCTCTGTTCTAAACCTGCCACCATTTAAACTCCCTTATATTGATTGTAAACACTACCAGAGGCCCAAAAGAGCCCAGAGGAATATTGAAAATTTAACAGTTTGACTGCTAAAGCTGTGAGTATACTATGCAGAAATTCGTCAGGAAGATATGAGCAACAGAATTTTTTATTATGTGATGTTATCTCAAGGACTGGCTGGGTGCCAAAGCCTAACATAACCTTCTGCTGCCAAGCAGACTGTTAAAAAGATAAACTGTTTGGGCTTCAAGAAGCTGTTGTAATCCCCTTTTAAATTCACTGAGTTACTTTCTGTACTGCTGATTGCTCTTCAGATGCTCTTCAGTATGTGCTAGCATTTCTTAAGTACAGGACATGAACTTCAGATAACAACAGACATTGGCTCTGATACGAACTTTCTTTCTGTGAATGGGTCCAACTTAACAGTCCTCTAATGGAGCTTCTCCCCCTTCCCCTTGCAGACCTCTACAGCAGTCTGCAGCCTCTTGCTCCAGGGAGACCCTTCAAAATGGCATTCCCACAAATGTGAATGGAGGAGCAACTTAGGATCCAAATAAATGTTTGAAATAGCTGCTACTCCAGGTTTGTTTAAGCAGCAAAACAAAATCAACTGGCATTTCTAGTAATTTTAGCAACATTTTACATAATTTTGCTCTTGGTACAGCAAACTAAATATGACATAATAGGCATCACTGAAACCTGGTGGGATAAGTCCCACGATTGGAATGTAATAATGGAGGGATACAATCTATTTCAGAGAAACAGACCAGACAAGAAAGGAGGAGGAGTGGCGTTATATGTCAGGGATGTGTATACCTGTGAAGAGATCCAAGATTTAGAACCTCAAAGCCAAAGTGAGAGCATTTGGGTCAAAATTAAGGGAGAGAAGAATAACAGTGACCTCATTGTGGCAGTTTACTATAGATCCCCAAGCCAAACGGAGGACATAGATGATGCCTTCCTGGAACAGATGGCCAAGCATGCAAAAGGAAGGAGATAGTAGTAATGGGGACTTCAATTACCCGGATATTTGTTGGATGTCAAACTCAGCCAAGAGCATAAGGTCAAACAGATTCCTCACTGGCCTTGTAGACAACTTCATTGTCCAGAAAGTGGGAGAAGCAACAAGAGGAACAGCCATTTTAGATCTGGTCCTAACCAATGTTGATGACCTGGTTAGTGGGGTAGAAGTGGAAGGATCATTAGGCGCGAGTGATCATGCTCTTCTGAAGTTTACTATACAGCGGAAAGGAGCAGCCAAGCATACTAGGACTCAATTTCCTGACTTTAAGAAAGCCGACTTCATAAAACTTAGGGAAGTGCTGGGTGAGATCCCATGGACAGTAATACTAAAAGGAAAGGGAGTTCGTGATGGCTGGGAGTTTGTTAAGAGGGAGATAGTAAAAGCACAACTTCAGGCAATACCAATGAGACGGAAACATGGAAGGTGCCTAAAGAAGCCAGGGTGGCTATCTAAAGAACTTTTAACTGAGTTAAGATTAAAAAGGATGTGTACAAAAATGGAAAAGGGGGAAACCACCAAAGAGGAATTCAAACAAATAGCCAGCACGTGTAGACACAAAGTCAGAAAAGCTAAAGCACAGAATGAACTCAGGCTTGCTAGAGAGGTTAAAAGCAACAAAAAGGCTTTTATGGGTATGTCAGTAGCAAAAGGAAGAACAAAGAAACAGTGGGGTCACTCAGAGGAGAAGATGGTGAAATGCAAACAGGGGACACAGAAAGGGCTGAACTCCTCAATGCCTTCTTTGCCTCAGTCTTCTCCGATAAAGAAAACAATGCCCGACCTGAAGAATTTGGAGCAAATGATTCAGCAGAGGAAACACAGCCCAGAATAACTAAGGAGATAGTACAAGAATACTTGGCTAGTTTAGATGTATTCAAGTCTCCAGGGCCAGATGAACTGCATCCAAGAGTATTAAAAGAACTGGCAGATGTGATCTCAGAACCACTGGCAGTCATCTTTGAGAATTCCTGGAGAACAGGCGAAGTCCCGGCAGACTGGAGGAGGGCAAATGTTGTCCCTATTTTCAAAAAGGGGAAAAGAGAGGACCCAAATAATTACTGCCCAGTCAGTCTGACATCAATACCAGGGAAGATTCTGGAGCAGATCATTAAGCAAACAGTCTGTGAGCACCTAGAAAGGAATGCTGTGATCACCGATAGTCAGCATGGATTTCTGAAAAATAAGTCATGTCAGACTAACCTGATCTCGTTTTTTGACAGAATTACAAGCCTGGTAGATGAAGGGAACGCAGTGGATGTAGCCTACCTTGATTTCAGCAAGGCATTTGACAAGGTGCCCCATGATATTCTTGTAAAGAAGCTGGTAAAATGCGGTCTTGACTATGCTACCACTCAGTGGATTTGTAACTGGCTGACTGACCGAACCCAAAGGGTGCTCATCAATGGTTCCTCTTCATCCTGGAGAAGAGTGACTAGTGGGGTGCCACAGGGTTCTGTCTTGGGCCCGGTCTTATTCAACATCTTTATCAATGACTTGGATGATGGACTCAAGGGCATCCTGATCAAATTTGCAAATGACACCAAACTGGGAGGGGTGACTAACACCCCAGAGGACAGGATCACACTTCAAAACGACCTTGACAGATTAGAGAACTGGGCAAAAACAAACAAGATGAATTTTAACAGGGAGAAATGTAAAGTATTTCACTTGGTCAAAAAAAATGAGAGGCACAAATACAAGATGGGTGACACCTGGCTTGAGAGCAGTACATGTGAAAAGGATCTAGGAGTCTTGGTTGACCACAAACTTGACATGAGCCAACAGTGTGACGCGGCAGCTAAAAAAGCCAATGCAATTCTGGGCTGCATCAATAGGAGTATAGCATCTAGATCAAGGGAAGTAATAGTGCCACTGTATTCTGCTCTGGTCAGACCTCACCTGGAGTACTGTGTCCAGTTCTGGGCACCACAGTTCAAGAAGGACACTGACAAACTGGAACGTGTCCAGAGGAGGGCAACCAAAATGGTCAAAGGCCTGGAAACGATGCCTTATGAGGAACGGCTAAGGGAGCTGGGCATGTTTAGCCTGGAGAAGAGGAGGTTAAGGGGTGATATGATAGCCATGTTCAAATATATAAAAGGATGTCACATAGAGGAGGGAGAAAGGTTGTTTTCTGCTGCTCCAGAGAAGCAGACATGGAGCAATGGATCCAAACTACAAGAAAGAAGATTCAACCTAAACATTAGGAAGAACTTCCTGACAGTAAGAGCTGTTTGACAGTGGAATTTGCTGCCAAGGAGTGTGGTGGAGTCTCCTTCTTTGGAGGTCTTTAAGCAGAGGCTTGACAACCATATGTCAGGAGTGCTCTGATGGTGTTTCCTGCTTGGCAGGGGGTTGGACTCGATGGCCCTTGTGGTCTCTTCCAACTCTATGATTCTATGATTCTATGATTCTAAGTATGTCATGATAGTGCTATTGGCTGAAATTATCTGAATCTCCCAATGCACAATGTATCATGTTGAGTTTTGTTTTTTAAGGGGATTTGATGTAATTTTTATAAGTTTGGGGCTCCCTTTCAGCTGCTCTGCTTGACAGAATAGTGCAATGAAGGGTCTCATCTTGTCTCTGACTCTGGATTCCTATGATCTTTTTCATCCATAGAGGATGCAGCAAATTTTCACAAGAGAGTTGGCAAATGGACAGAATGAACTGGCTAGCTAAAGATAATTTAGAGTGTATGTGTATTTGTACACACACATTCTTGGCGAGGTCTTTGGAATATCTGACACAAGCCAGTAGGTTAATCACCTCGAACACAGATTACATTTCTAACAAGCAGAGTTGGCAGTAAACAAACTTGTGTATAGCAAGTTGCGTACAACTGCGTTAAAAATGGGAAAGTATTGTGAAAATGGAAAAAAATCCAATTATGTACTTACCCATCAGACACTATACCCTCAGCTATTTCACATACCAGCACAAACAAAAGAATGAAAGTCAAAATCCAGCGTAAATTGTGACCAGGAAAATGAAGCCAAGTACTGTGGTGGATATGAACTTTGGAGCTTTGACTTCCCCACCCTAAATGTAAGAAAGCAAATAATCACAATTATCCTGAGAGTTTTGTGCAGAAAAAAGTGAATAAAAAAATGCATGGACCTGTCCATTCTGAACTGGAAACAGAAGTATAGATCTTTTGCTTTTAAACATGAAAGGGAAACAAAATTAGAAACATTTGATTAAAACATCATAACTGCATTAAGGGTCTAAAATAAGATACAGATGGGATCGAATATCCTTTATATTTAGACTCTTGTAATCTAGTTAAAAGCTAAATCAAAGCAAGAACTCTGAATTTGCTCTATAGTTGGAACATCAATGTATATATGATTGAGAAACTGAACACTAGGTGCTAGTTCCACGTAAGTCAATAAGAAGGGGCTTTCCACACTATTAGTGTAAACACACCCCAGATTCATTCCAGCAATGATTAGCATGTTGGTGTTTAATGCAGTGGACTAGGACCTGGGAGACCCATGTTCAAATCACCATTATGTTATGAAATTCACTGCCTAACCCTAGGCCAGTTACTATCTCTCAGCCTAACCCACCTCACATGCTGGGTGTGATGATAAAATTGTGCGAGGAATATGTATGTCCCCTTAAACTCCTAAGAAGAATGGCGAGATATAACTAAATATCCCTCTCTCCCCCCCATCAAAAATGTCTCATTAACTTCAGTGAGACTTACTTTCTAGTCAGTGGGTTTGGGATTACAGCATTTGTGCAGTACAAATGACTTTCTTGTGTTCAATATTATATAGAGTGCATTGTGTATTTTTTCATGGAAAGCCAGTCATACTGCCTAGTATATTAGTTTCACCTGCCTAGGTTATCAGTTTGTGCTTCTGTCTAGGCAGGAAGGGTATTGTCAGAATGGGAAGGAAGTGTGGGGGAACCTCACTGGTACACTACTTACAAATATAACACCCACAGCAAAAAGTGGAAGGTAGCCTGGGGTTATACATCAAATAAGTTCATATGCTCAAAATGAGTAATCAATCTATACATATTAAAACTTCTTTTAAAAACCAAGGTTTAGAAAATAGTGGTGAGAGGAAAGAGCTATAGCACTCTTTCTAGCAGGTGGATGTAATACTTGCAGAATCAGAGTCCTCACACCATCACTGAATGGAAAAAAATTCATATTGTCTGAAGTGCTTTGCATGGTCAGACAATATACTTCTTGAAGTAAAAGACTGATTATATGGAAACACTGGGAATTATCAACAAGCCAGTCCTTTAGCTTTAAGGTGAATAGACATTGCCAAAGGACATCAACAATGGTGCTGAATTTGTGCATTTCTCTTACACAGCTCTTTCAGTATTCCTCTTGAAAAAGAAGTCTAGAAAATTTATTTGTTTTTTAAAACAGGATTTGTGCCATTATGTGTTCATGACCTAGAACTCTGATTCTATTGATCTTCGGAAGAAGGCTGGTATAGAAATTGAATAAATAAATAAAATACAAATACATAAACGAATAAACAAATAATGGTTCACGGGCATGACTGGTAGCATTCCAGTTAAAGTTAGACTACAAACTACTGCTGGACCAGTAAAAGAAGTGCACACCTAGTTTTAAACTAGGGAACCCATTTTTTTTTAAAAAAACAACAACCCAAAAGGAGGTCCATTGCAGCAATGCTTTCTTCTTTCCTCTGTTTGACTAAACCCTAATATGTTTAAATCCTCTCCTCTCCATAACCTTCCTTGACTTCATTCAGCCCTTTTTCAAGGCACACACGATCCATGTTCTGACTTATTCAGGACGCCAGGCAGTTGAGCTAGGTCTGCAAAAAGATGGGCTGCACTTCACACCTGCCCCCAAATAAATGAGCGGGACGAAGGCAAAAGGAGCCTGACAAGCATTTCCTGCCGCCGCCAGTGCTTTTCCTAGGAAGATGCTCTCTAAAGCCTTTGCGTCCGAGCTAGGGAAGGATGCTGCCCCTGCTGCTGCTGGGGAAAGCAGGTCAGCATAGCTCAGCAAAGCCGTCGTTGCTTCCTTCGCCTGTCTGCTCGGATGGATGCCTGCGAATGAACAGGCTCGGGCGCCGCAGACCGGGAACGGGGGAGGGAAATGTACGCCCGGCGGCTCCGCTTCCCCAGGCGCCCCTTACTCACCGATGAAGAGGATGGGGAAGGTGATGAACAGGAGGAAAACGTGAGGCACCACGTTGAGCGCGTCCACGAAGCAGCCGTTGTTGAGCACCCCGTTGTTCACCTGGTAGGCAGCCGAGTTGTTCTCGCTGCCACAGAAAGCCAAGGACATGGTGGTGGTGTCCGAGGGTCGCCGGGGAGCAGCGTCGAGGGGGAGGCGGACATGCACGACAACAGAACAGGCGCGAAGACGCGAGCCGGGCCCGGGGTCCTTTTCCCGCCTCTCTACCTGAGCTATGCCGCGGCCGGCCCGGCCCCCTCAGCGCGGCGGCAACAAAGCGCGCGGGAGGAGCCGTGAGAAGGCGGCCAGATGCGCCCCCTCAGCTCTGGAGCGCGCGCGCGCCGGGTGGAGCGAGGCGCCGGGGAATTCCCCTCTATCGGTTTAGCCGAGGTCGAGCGGCTGAGGAGAGATGGTGCCGCTGGGACAAAAGGCTGAGGCGGGAGGAGGTGACGGGAGCGGCGGGAAAGCAAATGCCGAGCGCGCTCCGGCGACGGAGAAGGCGCTTCTTGTGGCTCCCCGGCAGCGACAGCAGCTGAGAGAAAAAGGAAGCCGCAGTTCGGTACTTAAAGGAGCCGCCTCCGCTCATCTGTCAGAGAGGCAAATAGTCGCGCTCCCGCTTCTTTTCGGAGGGGGTGTCAAGCCTGAGGCCCTCTGGTGCGCGGGAACACGGAAAACCCGTCGTCTTTCTGTTTGTAAACATTTCAAATTCTGCCCCCTCTCCACTGTCTAAGGATTCCCATCATTCCCTTGGCCAGAGGGCGCCTAAAAGCCACCCTTGCGCTTGAAAACTATAATGAAAACTAGCAGCTGAATTATTTATTTTTACCATTTATTAAAGTTGTATACCGCCCTGTCCCCGCAGGTCTCAGGGCTGTTCACAGGATAAAAAAAATCACAATATAAAATCACGAAATACATAAAATAAAAACAACAACCCAACAATCCCCTCCCCCCATTTTAAAAGGGCATTGGACGTCAAAGGTCTGGTGAAAGAGGAATGTTTTTGCCTGGTGCCTAAAGGTGCCTAATGAAGGTGCCAGGCAAATCCCCCTGGGGAGAGCATTGCACAAATGGGGGGGCCACTGCAGAAAAGGCCCGTTCTCATGATGCCACGCTCCAGACTTCTTGTGGAGAAGGCACACAAAGAAGGGCTTCAGAAGATGATCTCAGGGTAGGTTCATATGGAAAGAGGCAGTCCTTGAGGTATTGAAGTCCTGAGCCATTTATAGGTCAAAGCCAGCACTCTGAATTGGGCCCAGAGCAGAGCTTTCCAAACTGTGTGTTGTGACACGTTATTGTGTCTGCTGCAGTGTGTAGGTGTGTCGTGCGAATGCTCCCCGTGCTCATCCCGGGGCTGGAAAGCGGTTAGTTTAACCTCTGGTTTGCTAGTAAAACTGAATTATTGTGTTGTGAAATGATGCATGTCTAAAAAGTGTGTCACCAACATGAAAAATTTGGAAAGCTCTGGCCCAGAGTATTGGAGCTGGAGTATTATGACATACACAGGGCTGATCCAAGACATTTGGGTACCTGAGGCCAATCACAAGATCGCTCTTTCCCTCCCAGCTAGGGAAGAAGGAGTGAGTGAAGATCTACATCAGGAGCAAGAGGGAAGTAAAGATCTACATCCTGATCTGCTGCGCCTCTCAGTCCGGCCCTTGAAACGAACAGGGCTCCCTTGTCCCTTGCTCTGCTAGCCTGCCCTCTGCTCTGTTGCTGTTATTGCTAAATGCCTGATCAGGCCATAAGAAGATCACAACAATCCATTGTTTGGAAGACTCTTATCTGGCTTGCGTCACTGAAATTTGGGGTGGATGAGCTGGGTCCACCTAGTTACTCAGTTCTGCACCAGCCAGGGGCAGCGTGTCCTGTTTCACTCTGCCCTGCTGCCAAAGCTGCTGCATTTGCTCAGGGGAGTAGCGGCTGCCTTGGCACAAAATTCTGAGAAATTCTGAGCAGGATTTACTTTTTCTTGGTGCAGAATCTTATTACCCAGGTGCAGAATTTAAAGGTTTTGGTGTGAAGTAACCACAGTCCTTAAGTATGTCATGCTATTTATAGTCCTGGAGAATTTATGAGAATAGTCTTCTCTTCTTTCTGCAGCTCTGTTCCTACAGTGTTAACAAGCTGCTGTGACAACTATCAAGACTGTAGTTTGTAGGAGGTAGCTGCCAAATAAGTTATACTTTCAATAATACGAAGACATAAGAAACGTCACAGACTTTATTGGTTTTGTATTTTTAAGAACCTTTCGAAGAGCATGAAATATGAGGATCTGATTCTGTTCTATTAAAGTCAAATAAAGCTATCAACAACTTTAGAGGGTTCAGATCAAATGCTGTGGGTGCTGCAAATTCATCTGGTCGCATAGCTTGTAAAAATTCAGCACAAAGGTCAGCTCCTTATAAGCAATTTCATTCCCTTCACATCACTCATACCATACCTAGTACAGTCAGTAACCTAATTCAGTTGTGGATAGAAGGCAGAACAGGAAGAACTCATAGATCTCCGAGTGGTGGTTTGAAGCAATTTGGCAAAGATTCCTGACTCCCAATTGTTTAGCAATGGTTGCAACAAAGTAACTCTCTCTACCCCCATATTACAGTGTTGAAATGAAGAAAGGGTTTTTGAAGGGGGGGGATAACAAGGAGAAGATTTATTTTTTTTAGTGTGGAAGGATTGTGAGCTCCATTCAGTTCTGGTTGTTGTAAAAACAGGTTCCTGGAGTCATAATTATTTAATTCTGTGGTCTAATTTCAACTAAAGAGTTGCACTAGTGAAAACCATCACAACAATCTTGGTAGAGCAATGGGGCTTCTTGCCCCCACTGCTTCTTCTGCATGCCCCATGCCCCACAGATCAGCTCTGGGTGTTGGGAGAACCTTCATAATAGCACACAGGGGGAGGGGAGGTCATTCCATCTGGCAGGCAATACAAATTATTGTATTGACCAAATGATCATATTAACACAACACTGTACATAAATGTCTTTTGCACTGGATTCCATATTATGGTCTCAGGATTCTGGTAAAAACCAGAGTATATTCCACAAGCTTGGTGTCTGCCAAGCTCTGACTTACCCTCCCTTATTCCCCTACTTGAGTCATAATTTCGCTGCCGAGCAGTGGCTGGGGCAACCCAATCAGATGAGCAGGGTACAATTATTATTATAAGAAGAAGAAGAACAGGGATCACTGATTAGCTAAAGACTGACGTCTCTATTCTAAATTCCCATGAGTAGGATTTGCTCAGGGGATACTCTTGCTAGTGGGGAGGGGGAAGTGATTTCTAGTAATCCTTTCTGCCCCCTGCAGGCTCCTATGCCACACGAAAATATCTCCAGAAGATTGAAAGAATCTTCCAGCATTAGCAAAAATTGCCCCTCCCTTTCCAACAACAGAAGCTTCTCCTGGATCAGGGTCCCTTCAATGAATGGATGGATAGCCCAGGATCCAGGTCAGAAAGAGACGTTCATTTTGGCAAAGAATGGGAACAATTAATGCATAGAATTTTCTTGCTTTAGGTAAGGGCAATTGTGTTCCAACCTTTTGAACCCAGTAAGCTCTAGTTGGTGGTAGTACATTTTTCTTCTCAGGCTGCAGAATTGGGCGGCTGTGTTCTCCCTTGTCAGGTATAACATCACATCACAGTCATTTTTAAGGGGGATCTGGCTTCCAGGAAAACTCCACAGAAAGCAAATGAAGCACAGAATTGTTGTAAGAATACTGTACATCTTCATGAAACTGTGGTATCAAGCAGGTCCATGATGCAGAGAACTTGGATATGTGTTAACATAGTATAGCAACAAGAGATTAAATATGTGCAGTTTTCAAACAAGATGGTGCTTTCCAAGCAGTTTTAATGAACAGCTATGTTATTGACAGCTCACACCTCTAGGACTAGGATGAATGTACTAATTTTACATGTAAATATATATATCACTTGCCTATTTATCCACAGAAAGTAGCCGTTTGTTCACTTTTAACAAGAATATGCCTAGTATACACTTGTTTTGGAGTAGCTATAGTAGTGATAAAAGATTATTGCCTATGACAAATACATGATAATCCAAAATAACAGGTCTTCACTTGATGTCATTTTGAGTGCCTTTTGTGGCTGATGAAAATGTTCATAAATTTCATCCTCACTCAGTTCACTCCTATTTACTGGTAAATGCATTTTTCTGTGTTTTAATGTAATTGAAATTGAATTCTATTGTAAGATGCATCAAGTGCTTTTTAAAAATGACATTTAAGTGGTGTAAATAAGAAATGGGAGCACACATGAAACACTTCTCGTTTATTCATTATTCAGATTCTTCAAATGTGTTATAGATAACTAATAGAGGCTTCCCATTTGTACCAAAACCCTCCCAAAAGTAGTCTTCTTTCTAACTTCCATCAGGACAGAGTAATTGCCTTGATCTGGATTCAGATGGTGACACCCAAGGTTGCTTGTTTAGCTGTGCCTGAAACAAAAAAGCCCATCTGCGTAACGTTCTTAATCAGTTCCAGAGCTTGGGTTTAACTCCAAGGATAGAACGGAGCTGTTTTGTTTATAAAATTAACAAGGCACTGCACTTATTAAAGAGTTGGATTTCTGATAACAATGTGATGACACAAGGGTTAGTGGAAATTTACTGCAGAACCATGTTTAGAAGCATGTATATGAAAAGAGGCCATATCTATTGCTGAACAAGTTTTGCTTTCATACTGTCTCTGTTCTGCTTCTCATCTACGCTGTCATTATTAGGAGGTGTGAACAAACTCAATCACACTGTGTCCAGATGGAAAGCAACACATGGAATGATTACTCTCTGACATGTGAGCCAGAAGCATTCCTAGTAGAACTAAGCATTTTGTTGTTGCTTAGAACATTTGTATCTCTGCTTCTGAGCCAGGTTATGGAAGGGAGAAGTACAGAACTCATGTAAGTCTTGTACAGTCCCCTAAATATGTATGGCTGCCAATATTAATCCCTGTTGCTTTCAGATCCAAACAAATATGAGACAGCATACCACTTATTTCCTCAAATGCAGTTCTGACTGTGATCCAGTTCCATAAGATTGTGCACTGGTAGTGACTAACTTTATAAACATATGGAAGTTTTACTCTCACTTGGTCCCTAAACAAAAACATGTGTTCCCTAAACTTTAAAGCTGGTGTCTCTTTGCTTTGGTCTCTGAAGAGCTGGTGTTTAGCCTGAAGTGACTTTTGCCTGCTGCAAGTCTTCAGAGGATAATCTGAAAGGTATAATTTGTTCCATTATCACCCACTAAGGGAAGGGAAAATAGCAAATAGTTGGGTCCTAGAGATCCTCTTTGCCTTTTCTGCTCTTTCAAAAGTCATGTTAGCCAGCACATACATCTGTGTAAAATTGGTGGCATAATTATCTTAAAATTCATTGCACTGAAATGAAGTTTTCTTAAGCAATGAGTGTCTGCTAATCTCACATTCCAGTTAAACAATTTATTCTCTGTTTGGCCCTAGTTGATCATGTGCTTTATTCCTGGGGAAATGTCTCTGTACTAATTG